TATGTGACAAGCTAATATTAAGCCAAGGAAAAGTCGCTATCAGGGAGTACAATCACGTCCTCAGTTTTTATCTTGCGTCCCAAAGGATTAACAAGATAAACGTTGGGTTAGGTATTGATTTTCCTCGAGATGAAAATTAATACGCACGGCTTTAGTTTATTGTTTTAAAATCGGTTCGTTATTTAATTAGTAATTTAGGAAAGTTCTCGCGCAAAAAACGAGCAATTCTGCCATGTAAAACGGCGCTGCAGAAATGAAACTATCTAAATTCTAAAGCGTCTTTAATGGATGTTAAGTGGTAGAAAACTGGAGCTTCTGTAAAAGTATAGAGTAGTAAAATGCTGCTGGTAATTTTGAAGCGTTGTTCTCGAGCAGTATAAGCACTCCTTGAATAATCCATTGCAATATCCTTCAATGTGCCTTTATGCCGAGCCGCAGAAGACAATATTCTTTGTCTCAGCGTGTACTTGAGTAGCTAAAGTTATATTGCAGACAAAACAATAAAAAATAAGATCTCAAGTGAGCATAACGTTTGCAATATTACAAATTTATGCCATAAGGGGTTGAATATTAGAAAATATTCCATCAGCAACGAACTTGTGATCTATAAGACCGCGAAACCACGTGAATACTAACGTGCCGGGTAAAATAGCTTTCGATCTGAAAATGACATTTTAAAGATTAAATTCTTTGCCCAGATTCTCATTAGATACCGCGGAAACAAAATTTGACTGATACGGGTTTGGCGCAAGAAGTGCGATAACAAAAGCGATGTTATTTAGATATGCAAATAAAAATTTTTTCGAATTTGGTTTAGCTCGACGTTTGATTAGCCTAATTTGTGGGACTGTAAGAGAGTTTAATAAAGTAGTACTTTCTGTTCGTCGGTCCCCGAGCTATGGAGTTAAGGAATGCATTTAAATAGAGCTTTAATGACAGGCTCTATCCGTCAAGAGGCATTCAACCGTCTCACGGGGATACCCAAGCACGTACACATTCTGACGGTCGTTTCTAAGTAAGACTTCCGTTTAGATACTCTTACAAGAAAGTTTTGTTGTTAAAAAACACTGTTTTATCTTTTATCATTCGCAGGATCTAATCTTACGTGCTCAGCACTTTCACTCCATTTTCTTTTTTAGGGTATTTAAAGGAGATCGTATCAGAACGATCAGCGATTATTTATTATTAAAACAAAAATGCGCCAATGCTGGAAAATATTTAAATGTTTTAATATCCGTCAATGTAATGTTGTGGTTGGGGAAAACGTTTTAATGCAAAATTTGTTTTGTTGAATAATTTATTTCGTGTACTTCGTGTAAATCAAAGGTTTGCAGTAATTATGTTATTTGTTCCTAATCACCTGTAATGATGATAATATTTCGCACAGATTATAGTATTTCAAGAGTTTCGAAAAGGCGGCAAAATTAACATTAGTCAGTCAGGTAACAAACACAGAATCTAATCTGATATCTTTTATTACAAACAATGACTATCGATTTTGACACTTGTTCTAAATAAAGGATATGTTATTAAAGAAACAAGTTATCGGTTCTCTTCTTTAATAACTTGCCTTAAAAGGAAATATTATTTAATATTCAACAAATTTGTTTTTGAAATGTAATTTCGTTATACTTTTACTCTGATTATTGGTGTTTCTTCGTTTGACTTTAACTCAGAATGCACAAGATTGATGATCTAAACTTTGTGTCTAATTTGCTAAAAATTTTCATAACGCAATAAATGCAAAGTATTATCTTATATTTCTTTTATTTAAAAAATTATACAACAAGAAAATATATTTTTTGTTTTATGGTTAAATATAACTTATGCAAATTAGTATTTTTTTTGATTATCTAAGATTTTTTTTTGGATTCGTATGTTAATTGTCACCTATAGTATCTGTCTGTCTGTCTGTCTGTCTGCCGTCCCGGATTTTTATTAGGCACATAATCTCCGAAAGTACTGAGCCGATTGTTGTCAAATTTTGTATTTATATTAGGAATATCATGTAGGTAAAACGCTAACCAAAATTTGTCTATTCATCGCCACCAATAACGTGATGACGTTACTTCAAAATTGTACGTAGTAAATTGCTTTTAAATTCTTTAAAATATCATAGTCCTATACATGCAGTTTATGACTCCGTGTTGAGTTTTTACCCAAAACGTCCAGATTTTTGGAAAAAAATTAAAATTATAAAAGAACATTTTGCAATTTAATTTTGAATCTGCCAAACTAAATACTGTGAAATCTTGCAGATGTTTTTTATTTACGGTAAGCATAATAATTTTGTAATTAAAATATATTCGCTTATCGCCTTCAAAAATTGATGACACCATCCAAAAATTTTGCCGGATAAATATTATCTAAAATTTGCAAAATATGATCAGTCTATACTTGTGACTTATTACTGCATTCATATTTTTTAGATTTACATAAACAGGGTGATTAAAAAAAATTAATGACTGATTTGTTAAAATTAAACATCCAATCAGATTTAGGAATTTAACTCGTTACTATTGATACTTGTAATTTAACACCTTTTAAATTTAGCAAGTTTTAACAAGTTTAATAGGGGTCCCGCCCACCCGCTCCCTATTTTCTCACATGATATGTCATTTACCAAAATCAGACTTATCTTAGCAAGTAGTACCCTCTGAGAAAATAAGGGGCGGGTGGGCGGGGTTAGTACTTGCTAAGATAAGTCTTATTTTGGCAAATGACATATCCTCTGAGAAAATAGGGGGTGGGTGGGCGGGGCTAGTACTTGATAAGATAAGACTGATTTTGGCAAATGACAAACCCTCTGAGAAAATAGGCGGCGGGTGGGAGGGCCTAGTACTTATTAAGATAAAACTGATTTTGCCCCTATTAATCTTGTAAAAACATGTGAAATTTGAAGGTGGTAAATTGCAAATTTCCATAGTAACGAGTTAAATTCCTAAATCTACCCGAAATGTGCAAAATATCATGAGTTTTTTACTTGTGAGTTATGATTGCATTCATATTTTTTACATTTGCTTATACCGATTTAATCAAGAACTACAAAACTTTGCTTTGAAATCTTGGAGATATTTTAAAGTTATCATAAACTTTTGATCAAAATCTATTTGCTCATCCCCCCTAAAAAATTGATGACGTAACTTCAAAATTTTGCTGAATAAATCCTATCTTAAATGTGCAAAGTATGATGAGTCAATACTTGTGATCTATCACTGCGTTAATATTTTTTAGATTTGCTTATACGGGGTGTCTCAAAAAAATTAATGAATGAGTCAATTTATTTTATGGTTTAAATCAAGAATTGAAAAACTGAATACTTTGAATCTTGTAGACGTTTTGAAGTTATTGTAAGCATGGTAACTTTTTAATCAAAATGTATCTGTTTATCAACTCCAAAAAATTGATTACGTCATTACGTAGATGGTAAAACGCCAACCAAAATTTATCTAATCATCCCCACTATTAATATGATGACGTCACTTCAAAATTGTACATAGTAAATGGGTTTTAAATTGTAGTTTATGACTCCGTGTTGAGTTTTTATCAGAAACGTAGATTTTTGGAAAAAATAATCAAAAATATAAAACAACATTTTACAATTAAATTTTGAATGTGCAAAACGAATGCTTTGAAATCTTGCAGATGTTTTAAGGTTATGATACGCATAATAAATTTTTACTTGTGATTTATCATTCCATTCATATTTTTTAGATTTGCTTAAATATGTGGCTCAAAACATTGATGAATGAGTCAATTTATTTTTCCCGAAAATTTTGGGAATACAATAATGTTATTTTTTAGTTTCCATTTTACACTAAATAAGATAAATCACTGAAATGGAGAAAGGAGGTGGGCGGGGCTAAATAAGGTTTTTCTCGTTTTATAAGCATGCAGTAGCCCCACCCACCCACCCCTTCTTCGTTCCAGTGAGCCCAGTGACTACTCTTAATATTGTCAGTCCTAAACTAAGCAAGTTTTAGCCCCGCCCACCCACCCTTTCTTTTCCTTAGAGGATATGTCATTTACCAAAATCAATCTTATCTTAGCAGATACTAGCCCCGCCCATATACGCTGTTCTCATTTTAACGATTTTATTTCTCTTCAATTGAGATCCACCCTTCATTCGGACTACACAAAATGAGTCATTGAAATGAAGACGGGGTGGGTGGGTGGGGTGAATTATATGTTTTTTTGTAAAGTGAGAATAGAGTGTAGGCTGTTAAAAAAAGTGTAAATTGTAATTTTTATTCAAAATATATTTGCTTATCTCCTCCAAAAAATGTATGAAGCATCTCAAAATTTTGCCGAATAAATTCTTTCGAAAATGTGCAAAATATCATCAGTCTATACTATATCTATATTTATCAGTACATTCATATTTTTTAGATTTGCTTATACAGGGTGGCAAAAAAATTAATGAATCAGTCAATTTATTATTGATCAAATTAATATCGTCTTTATAACAATAAAATAATAATAAGGTAAGAATTATAATAATAACATTGAGAATATTTTAATTTTAGTCATGTGTTTTGAGGCGATAAATTCATTCATATCAAACAGACGTCTACGTGACATTCTTCCGATGTATAAACATCAACATTTTAAACACTACACATATTGCTCAGATACCACTATTCTCACTGATAAAGTGCGGTAAATGTATTTTACTTGTGCAGAGACGGTTTGTACGGATATGCTTGTGATGCTGGACCATCAGGCCCCCGAAGATAAGGAACCCCTTCTGGCCTAAATGTGACGGAAAACAGAATTTATTTGCTTTTAATTTGGTTATTACAAAAATATTACGAGTATTTCATCTTCGACTGACCGTTTGTTAACACATATGATCTCGAGATTGTGCAAAATGCAAAATTGGCCACTTCCGGGCGTTTCATTAATTTATGACTTGCAGCCAGGCAGCCATCTGCACAAAGAGCTCCCGCCTGAGTTTTTTTTGCAGTATGACTTTTGAAATATGTATAATGTCAATTCCGTTTATTGTTTTCAAAAATTTTATTTAGTGATCATTAACAAAAACGTTCTTTATATTGTTACTCTGATTATTGGTGGTTCTTCGTCTGATTTTTCGCCAGAATGCACAAGATTGATTTTCTAAAAGTAGTATTTAGAAATCGTTTACAATTTTTTCTCAATAAACTTACCTTTCTTGGCATCATTGACCGTCCTTCACTGCCAGCATGGATACGCTGAAAATTGGTTTGATCGTAGATTTGTACAAAACATAACAAATGACCTTACCGACTCTATTTCTCCAGAGAAAATTTCCGTGTTTTCAGGGGTTGTCCACTAAAATCAGAGACAGTTAAATTTTTTCAAAGTTTTATTAAAATATTACCTCATTTATCGCCACTAGAACTTCAAAATTGTTAAGCTAAAAACAAATCAGATTAGAAATTTGTATTTAGCGTGCAATAAATTTAACCAAAATTTTGTAATTCTTACCAGGTAGTTATTCTCATCTGATCCAGACAGGTGTGAAGCTCCAAGAGCTACAGATTTTGCTTCACATGCGTTGTGCTTTAATTCGAGAAAACAATAGTAAAAAGTAATAAAAAAAGTAAAATAAAAATTACCATGCATATGCAAAAGATCAAAGTACAAACAAACTTGAGATTCATGTTTACAACTTACGAGTGATTTATGTGAATTTGTCTTTTTATACTAGTCTGACTGATAAAATTTGTGCCGAATTTGCTAAAAGTTTTCATAACGCAATAAATAGATGCAAACTATCATCTTATATTTCTCTTATTTAAAAATTTATTGATAGCGGAAAATTTATTACGACTGTATATGTTTTGTTTTTATTATTTTTTTTTTGGAAACTGTTATTCGTGTACTAAGACAATACGAATCAAATTAAATAATCTAGTGATGCTAAGAACTTGTTTTTTATTGTACATTTTTGATACACTTATTGTTTAATGAAAAAGGGAAGCACATCAATCGGTGCAGGATAGTCTGTCAAAATTTGAGGTCCTTCGTATATCGTTCCGTCGTTTCCATCCTTCCAAGTACCAGCAGGAATAACGATATTTCTACTAGTAGCACCTTCTTCGATTACAGGAGCTACAAGAATTTCCTCACCAACCAAATATTCTTAAAAAACATGTTTACAAAAGTGGTTATTTTCAAAGTTTAACTCACGATCGTTTGATTTTAGAGCATCAGGATTTGTAGGATCAGCCCACCAAATAGGCGGATTTACAGGAGTTCCAGTCGAAATGCTGTTCTCCATAGCGTTCAAAATAGAATCAGTGTATTCGTCATGCAATGCCACAAATTTTTTGATAATCGCCACTCCATCAAACTAGAAAAGTCCTATTAGTTGTGTTAGCAAAAAAGTACGATTCGTACATCATCACTAGTTATCTCCCACGGCAAAAAGCTGAACTGCATAGAAGGCATGAAAGTGTTTGCTTGTGTCCATCTAGCAATTAATTCGGGTGATGGTGGATCGCCGTAACCGTTTCCTCCGATCATATCAGGAAGGACGCTATAAATAAGCAAATCAAAAACCAAAAATATTGAAATCTATAACGTACAAGCCGTATCCGTTAATGTTAAACAGTAGAAGAGTGGTGATAATAGAGTGCAGACCGTTGTTAAGCGACCATGAAGAATCCTTGTCCGCCATTCTTACTAAGATTCCAAGATCTTGCGTTCTAGAAAATCCGAGTTATTGACTATCAGCACATTCCATGACATTACCTCCATCCAGTTCTCACTTCAAGCATATCACCGAATTCAGCACAAGTGCGAACGTAGGAAGAAGTTACAACATTTGGACTCTCTTCTACATCAGCATTAAGAACTGGATTTGGTGGAGTCCAATCGCTTTCGCCTGCATCAAACTTAAAACTATCAATACCGTGCAAATCCTGAAGTGTCTTAAGCCTGTCCGTAAACCAGTTTCTTGCTCCTTCTTGCGTAAAATCTATCAAATGTGCAGGGTTTCCATCCCACCAGTTGGTTTCGTCGCTACCGTCGTTTTTAGATTTAACAAAGAAACCTTGAATGGAGAAGATAAAATCAAAATGATTGCGTAGCAACTTCAGTACCGTTGCTTTGTCCATACTGCTTCGGTTCTTCACAGTCGTCGTTCACAAAAGGGTGGGTCCAGAGGGTTACCGTGAAACCTAAATCTTTCAACGTTTGAACAGTACCATTAATATTGGCGAACTGGTTATCATTGAACACCAAAGAACCATAGCACGTCTAGAATCAGTAGTCAAAATCATTTAATTTGACAGTTTGGTGGTACTAGCCTCCCAGAAATCATCAATTTCGATTTGTCCTGTGAAACCTTGGTCTGCTATTTCTTGTCCAAAAGCAACCACAACATCGTCGTTAATATTGTTCTTGTACTTAGCCCAAGTGGTCCAAATTGGGTGACGAATGACCCACTCGTCGGGGTGTGCTAGAAAATATCGTCAGTATAGATTGACAACAACAAGGAAAACGAAACCTTGAGGTTTGCCCAAAAAGTTATTAACAGCGTGTAAATGAGCTTCCTTAGAATCCCCTTTAACAACTAAATTGTAGTCCAAAGTAACCTACAACACATCGTATACGACCCGAAATCGCCATAATTCTCTTACTTGGTCTCTTTCACTGTATGCATCCGTCGCTGCCCCTTTAAAGCATATGCTTCCAGGAACCTCATTATTTTGATCCAAGTACAAAGGGACCTTATCCCCAACAAAAACATAACCACCCTTCGAGTTTAGCCAATAGCGCTCAGCAAAGCAAGCGTTGTCGCTTTTCAAAACTGTGTACATTCTATTCTGGAAGCTTACGTTTTCTATGGGCCAGTTGGCTTGCCATTTTTCGGGACCACCGAACCAATTTGTGTCAGAAGGTTGTAAATCTAGACAATCTTGAAATGTGGTTGCAGTGTTACTGGTTTGCCATGCTATATTGAAACCACTGTCGATGCTATCGATAGACAGTGAGACATCGTCAATCTGGAGACTACAACTTGAAGCTCCGTCACAGTCTTGGGAAAAATCTAAATTTCTGCCTTGCCCAATCTGTCCGGATATTTTTACAGCGTCACCTGTACAAGTGTGATGTTTTGGTGGATCTGGTTTTTTCCATCACTTACCTAGAGTGAGACTTATTGTGGTTTGGTCACCATCAGTTATCTCCAGTTTGACATTATCGTCATTGCTGTTAATTAACTGTAGACTTTTTGTTTGTGCAAAAAGACACAGTAAACAAACTGAAATTTGAGGGTTTATAAATAGATTTGAGTGATTTTTGGCTTACCAATAATCTTGATCGTCATTGTGTTTACTCAAGCATCAAAATAAAGTTGTCCTTATATTTACTGTGGTCTATAATGTATACATCATCTAATCGGAAAGTGCTCGTTATCGAGCACTTAAGACAATAAGAAAGAAGGTTCAGTTAACAACAAGGATTTTTTTCAGTGAAATCTAATCTAACACCTTTTACTGTAAACAATAATTGTTCCATGACTGTCTATTTTACACCTGTTCTAATCTAACGATTTTTGCTAAAGAAACATGTTACAGGTTCTTACGGTAGTAAAAAAACTGAAACGGACTCATAAACTACAAGTATGTTATTTTATAATTTTCATTTTCGCAGAATTTAATTTAATTATTTTTCGAAGGAGCTGTATTTGTTTGTCTGTACTTCAGAGGCTAGTTAAAAAACGACAAATTGCCAAAAACCTTTATTATTTAATATTTAACAAATTTAATTTCATTTCCATTTTAGCGCACTTTAATAAAGTCTTGCAGACGTCCTCTGTTTATTGGATCTCGGACCAAATTTTCTTGCAGAGTGCTAAAAGTTTTATTCAGTGATTGTTAACACAAGTATCGTTTATGTTTTTACCCCTTGGTGTGATAGTTCTTGGTCTGAAAATTCTTCAGACTGCACAAGATTGATTTTCTGAAAATAAATTTTTAATTTTGAAATTGCTTTAAATTTGTTCGCGGTAAAATTACCCTTCTTGGCATCACTGATTGTTCTGTAGAATGACTGCGAGGATGCATACTCTGAAAATTAGCGTGATCTCAGATTTGTAAAAAATAGAACAAATAATTTTACCGTCATCATTTTTCTAGGGGAATGTACCGTGTTTTCAGAGTGCGTTCTCTAAAATCAAACACAGTTATTATTTTTTTATTGTGTGTTTAAATATCACCTGTCTTAGCTGCATTTGGTGATCTAAGTGTCCTCTCTACAAACAAAACAAATTAGAAAATTCTCTTTAAGAAAATTCTTTGTAATAGTTTGTTATAAATTTAACCAATTTTGTATAATTCTTACCCTTATGTCGTCATGCTCCAACCTAGAAGAGTGCGAACTCACCGATTTTGCTTCACATGCACTGTGCTTTAAGTTAAAAAAAGATTTAACAAACAAAAAAACAAGGAAAAATATACTTACCACGCAAATGCAGAAGATCAAAACACAAACAAACGCGAGCTTCATGTTTACGACCGATTCATACGAATTGGTCTTTTTATACTCGTTTGACTGATAAAATTGTGCCGATTTTGCTAGAAGTTCTCATAACGCAATAAATGGTTGCAAAGTATCATCTTAATTTTGCTTACTTGAAAATTTATCATCGACGGAAAATTTATTTTTGTTTTATATTTAAACATAACTCAAAAATGACGTTTTTTTCCACGACGAACCCAACACTGTTGGCGAAAGGCGTCTCCATGTATCAAAAACACTTATTTGATTTTTTTTAAGAAACTTTCTATGATTTTCCCGAAAGCTTGACGAAAAATAGTTCCGAGTTTGCACAGTGTTATCATTATTTGGAAAAAGATAAACTCAAGGTTTGCATTAACCACTTCTTTTTGTGTAAAGAACATTTGTCATTAATAAATATAGGTGTGACAGCCAAATCTACAAAAGATTATTCAGGCTGACGCATTTCGTGGTTGCTTACACTCTTTATATCTATTTTGTGGTGAGATTTATTGACGTTGTAGCTGGTACATACGCTAATTTAGGTGAGTTGTACTGAGTGTTTGTAACGATGTGAATTTGTAGCTTTTTAGGTGCTAAATATGCATTTCAAAATTCTTGTCCTTCTGTTGGTTGTGGTTGTTGGTAATGTTTACTTAGCTGAGAACGCAAAAATAAAACAGACTGAAATTATGTGGGGAGTACCCGGAGGACCTACTTTTAATACCCTTATAAGAAAGTTAATGTGTCCGCCGGCACATAGAAGAATCCGTGGTAGATGCAGAAGAGTTTATTCATTTTGAGTTTGCAAAAATTAAACTATTAACTATTGTTTAGTATTAGTAACGTTTTTTGATAAAATTATATAGGTATATTATAATATGTATAGCATTTTCGAATTTCAATAAAACTTTGGATTGTTGGTTTTTATTTAAAAATTAAATTATCCAGTACAAAGTCGGTTGTGAAGTGTTCTATTTAAAAAACGGTTGCCTTCCGATATTGTCTTAAGTGCTTGATAGCGATCACTATCCGATTAGATGATGTAGGCAACTATATAAGGAGAACTATGTTTTGGTGCTTGAGTTGACACAATGAGGATCAAAATTATCGGTAAGTTTAAACCTATCCAACTCTATTTATACATTTCCAAATTTTAGTGTGTTTGCTGTGTCTTTTTGTACAAACAAAAAGTCTACAGTTAATTAACAGCAATGACGAAAATATCAAACTGGAGATATCTGTCGGTGACCAAACAACAATAAGTGTCACTCTAGGTAAGTGATGGAAAAAACCAAGTCCACCAATATATCCACATTTCTACAGGTGACGCGATAAAAATATCTGGACAAATTGGGCAAGACCGAAATTTGGAATTTCCTGAAGATTGTGACGGAGCCACAAGTTGTAGTCTTCAGACTGACGATGTCTCTTTGTCCATCGATAGTATTGATAGCGGTTTTAGTATATCCTGGCAAACCAGTAACACTGACTCCAAATTTCAAGATTGTCTAGATTTAAAAGCTTCTGATACAAACTGGTTTGGTGGACCGGAGAAGTGGGAAGCCACCTGGCCTGTAGAAACTGTGAGCTACCAGAATAGAATTTATACAACTTTGAAAGGTGACAATGGTGCCGTGGCCGAACGCTACTGGCTAAACTCGAACGGTGGTTATGTTTTCGTCGGTGATAAGGTTCCTTTGTACTTGGACCAAAATAGTGCGGTTCTTGGAAGCATATGCTTTATAGCGGCAGCAACGGACTCTTACACTGGAAGAGAACAAGTAAGAGAATTACGACAATGTCAACATGTATAACTCATATGTTGTAGGTTACTTTGGACTACAATTTAGTTGTTAAGGGCGATGCTAAAGAAGCTCATTTACATGCTGTCAATAACTTTTTGGGCAAACCTCAAGGTTTCGTTTTTCTGGGTTGTTGTCCGTCTATACTGACGATATTTTCTAGCACACCCCGACGAGTGGATGATTCGTAACCCAATTTGGACCACTTGGGCTAAATACAAGAAGGATATTAACGACGAAGTGGTGGTTGCTTTCGGGCAAGAAATAGCGGACCAAGGTTTCACCGGACAAATCGAAATTGATGATTATTGGGAGGCTAGTAACACGAAATGTCAAACTCAATGATTTTGAGTACTCATTTTAGACTTGTTATGGGTCTTTGGTGTTCAATGACAACCAATTCGCCAATATCAGTGGTACCGTTCAAGCGTTGAAAGATTTAGGTTTCACGGTCACCCTCTGGACACACCCATTTGTTAACGATGACTGTGAAGAACCTATACAGTATGGCGAACGCAATGGTACTTAATTGGCTACGCAAACATTTTGATTCTATCTTTTCCATTCAAGGTTACTTTATTAAATCTAGGAACGACGACGGTAGTCAGGAAACTAGCTGGTGGGATGGAAACCCCGCTCATCACGTAGATTTTACCCAAGAAGGAGCAAGAAACTGGTTTTCGGACAGGCTTAAGACACTTCAGGAGTCGCACGGTATTAACAGTTTTAAGTTTGATGCAGGCGAAAGCGACTGGACACCGCCAAATCCAGATCTTAATGCTGATATAGAAGACAGTCCAAATGCTCTAACTGCTGCATACGTTCGTACTTGTGCTGAATTCGGTGGTTTGCTTGAAGTGAGATCTGCGTGGAGGTAACGTCGTGGATAGTGCTGATATTCAATAACTGAAATTTTGTAGAACGCAAGATCTTGGAATCTTTGTAAGAATGTTGGATAGGGATTCTAGATGGACTCTTAACAACGGTCTACACTCTATTATAACCAGTCTTCTCCAGTTTAACATTAACGGATACGGATTGTACGTGGTAGATTTCAAAGTTTTGGGTTGTTGATTTGTTTATTTCTAGCGTCCTTCCTGATATGATCGGAGGGAACGGTTATGGTGATCTACCAACAGCCGAATTACTTGCAAGATGGACTCAAGCAAACGCTTTTATGCCTGCTATGCAATTCAGTTTTTTGCCGTGGGAGATAACAAGCGATGATGTACGAATCGTACTTTTTTGTAAAAGCAGCTAATAGTAGTGTTGTAGTTTGATGGAGTGGCGATTATCAAAAAGTTTGTGGCACTGCATGACGAATACACGGATTCTATTGTGAACGCTATGGAGAATAGCATTTCGACTGGAACTCCTGTAAATCCTCCGATCTGGTGGGTTGATCCCACAAATCCTGACGCTCTAAAATCAAACGATCGTGAGTTAAATCCTTGAAAATGGAAACTTTTGTGAACACGTTTTTTAAAGAGTATTTGGTGGGTGAGGAAATTCTTGTAGCTCCTGTAATAGAACAAGGTGCTACTAGTAGAAATATCGTTATTCCTGCTGGTACTTGGAAGGATGGAAACGACGGAACAATATACGAAGGACCTCAAATTTTGACAGACTATCATGCACCGATTGATGTACTTCCCTTTTTCATTAAACAATAAGTGTATCAAAAGTTTACAATAAAAAGTTTTCTCGATAACCAATGGGTTCCTTAAATTATCATCGAACACCTTTGCCACAAGTTGTGACTATTCAGGTTTTAGATGCCCAGTAAAACTCATACAAGTGACTATAATTCCAATTTGTGGTTTTCCACAAGCGACACGGGAAACAAACAATTAAGTGGAAGGTTAGTTACGAAACATTTCTATGGAATATTCTGCAGTACAAAGTCGATTGTGAAGTGTTGTATATACAAATTCTAAACAAACAATTGTATCTAAAATACGGTTGCCTTCCGATATTCTCTTAAGTGCTTGATAACGATCACTTTCCGATTAGATGGTGTATATGTGATAGACCACTATAAAAGGACAACTCTGTCTTGATCAGTGAGTTACCACAATGGGGTTCAAAATCATTGGTAAGGTAAAAATATCCAACTCTATTTATACATTTTCAACATTTTCTAGTTTGTTTGTTGTTTCTTTTTGTACAAACAAAAAGTCTACAATTAGTTAATAGCAATGACGAAAGTATCAAACTGGAGATATCTGTCGGTGACCAAACAACAATAAGTGTCACTCTAGGTAAGTGATGGAAAAAACCGAATCCACCAATAAATCAACGTCTCTAGGTGATGCGGTCAAAATATCTGGACAAATTGGGCAAAACCGAAATCTGGACTTTCCTGACGATTGTGACGGAGCCGCTAGTTGTAGTCTCCAGATTGACGATGTCTCTTTGTCTATCGATAGTATTGATAGCGGTTTTAATATTTCATGGCAAACCAGTAACACTGAAGCCACACTTCAAGATTGTCTAGATTTAAATGGTTCTGACACGAATTGGTTTGGTGGTCCTGAGAAGTGGGAAGCCGATTGGCCTGTAGAAAATGTAAGGTATAGGAATAGGATTTACACAACTTTGAAGGGCGACAATGGTGCCGTGGCCGAACGCTATTGGTTAAACTCGAACGGTGGATATGTTTTCGTTGGTGATAAGGTTCCTTTATACGTGGACCAAAACACTGCAGTTCCTGGAAGTATATGCTTTATAGGGGCGGCAACGGACTCCTATGCTGGAAGAGACGAAGTAAGAGAACTACCATCATATCAATCGTTTAACTGTTGTTGTAGGTTACTTTGGTCTACAATTTAGTGGTTAAGGGAGATGCTAAAGAAGCTCATTTGCACGCCGTCAATAACTTTTTGGGCAAACCTCAAGGTTTCGTTCTCCTGTGTTTTGTCACTCTGTACTGACGATATTTTCTAGCACACCCTGACGAGTGGATCATTCGTAACCCAATTTGGACCACTTGGGCTAAATACAAGAGGGATATTAACGACGAAGTGGTGGTTGCTTTTGCGCAAGAGATAGCAGACCATGGTTTCACAGGACAAATCGAAATTGATGATTTCTGGGAGGCTAGTACCACCATACTGCCAAATTAAATGATTTTGACTATCGATTTTAGACGTGCTATGGCTCTTTGGTGTTCAATGATAACCAATTCGCCGATATTAATGGTACCGTCCAAACCTTGAAAGATTTAGGTTTCACGGTGACCCTCTGGACTCACCCTTTTGTTAACGATGACTGCGAAGAACCAATGCAGTATGGCGAAAGCAACGGTACTTAAGTTGTTACGCAAACATTTTGATTTTATCTTTTCCATTTAAGGTTACTTTATTAAATCTAAGAACGACGGTAGCGAGGAAACCAGCTGGTGGAATGGAAACCCTGCTCATCACGTTGATTTCACCCAAGAAGGAGCAAGAAAGTGGTTTACGGACAGGCTTAAGACACTTCAGGAGTTGCACGGTATTGATAGTTTTAAGTTTGATGCAGGCGAAAGTGATTGGGCGCCACCAAATCCAGACCTTAATGCTGATATAGAAGATAGTCCAAATGCGCTAACTGCTGCCTATGTTCGTACTTGTGCTGAATTCGGCGGTTTGCTTGAAGTTAGATCTGCGTGGAGGTAATGTCATTATCATGAATGTATAGATTGTCAATAATTGGAATCTTCTAGGACACAAGATCTTGGAATATTTGTGAGAATGTTGGACCGGGATTCTAGATGGACTATTATCAATGGTCTACACTCTATTATCACCAGTCTTCTACAGTTTAACATTAACGGATATGGATTGTACGTGGTAGATTTCAAAGTTTTTGGTTGTGTTTAGATTTGTTTATTTATAGCGTCCTTCCTGATATGATTGGAGGGAACGGTTACTTTGAACAACCAACAGCCGAATTAATTGTTAGGTGGACGCAAGCAAACACCTTTATGCCTTCCATGCAATTCAGTTTTTTGCCGTGGGAGATAACTAGTGATGATGTAAAAATCGTACTTTTTGTAAACGCAGCTAATAGCAGTTTTCTAGTTTGATGCAGTTGCAATTGTCAAAAAGTTCGTGGAATTGCATGAAGAATACGCTGATTCTATTTTAGCCGCCATGAATAATAGCATTTCGACAGGAACTCCCGTAAATCCTCCTATCTGGTGGGTTGATCCTACAAATCCTGACGCTCTAAAATCAAACGATCGTGAGTTAAAATTTTGATAATACGATTTTTGTAAATTTGTTTTTTTAAGAGTATTTGGTGGGTGAGGAAATTCTTGTAGCTCCTATAATAAAGAAAGGTGCTACTAGTAGAAATATCGTTATTCCGGCTGGTACGTGGAAGGATGGAAACGATGGAACAATATACGAAGGACCTCAAACTTTGGCAGACTATCCTGCACCGATTGATGTACTTCCCTTTTTCATTAAACAATAATTGTATCAATAAAAAGCAAATTCTTGGCACTGTTTACTACTAGGGTATTTAATTTTATCCCGATTCTGGTTTTGCCTTGTTTTTCCTTATCGATTCTTAGAAGACTTGTTTAATTATGCCTAAGAAAGGTTAAAAGTTATCTTGACATTCTGCGTACATACCGATAAATCTATTAAAAGATTCACGTCCAAGGGATATCTAAGGTTATCACAGAAAAATCCCCATTTCTTTGCGCAGCAATTAAAAGCGGACTAAATTCCTGGTGTAAATTTAAATTAAATGCAAAAATGAAATTAGCTTTTTTATGTGTTTTGTTATATATTTTACTTTGTGCAGTTGCAGACTCTGCAATAATAGTGCCACAGTCAAACTCGTCAACTTTAAAACCAAAAACAACAACAACGCTAGAAAATACTGCTAAACTCCAGTGGAAAGCAAAAACAAATTTTACGGTGACTACAAAGTACCTATTTCGTGTAAAGTGTGTCGAAGGTGCAGTGCTCAACGATGTAACTAAAGAATGTAGTGTTCCATTTAACGTTTAGGGTTAAGTAACAAGTGTCCCTAAAGACAACGAAATACAAATGAAAATGAAATTCGTTTTTTTATGTGTATTATTACACATTTTACTTTGTACACTTGTAAACTCTGCAACAACAGTGTTAAACACAAACCCTTCAAATTTAAAACCTGAAACATCAAGAACTGTAGAAAGTACTACTGAACTCCAGTGGACCAAAAAAGAATCATTTACGCTGGCCCCGAAGAACATAGTTCGTGCAAATTGTGTTCAAGGTTACGTTTACAACGAATTAGAAGGGAAATGTGTCCCTATATTTAACCTGACGATAAGTATTAACAAACAGTTTTAGTAAAGATAGTGAAGTAGTCATTCTTCTCCGTGAAGATGAAGTCCTTGTTGTGTGTAGTTATTTGTGTGTGTCTTCTGCAAGTAACCCTTGTAGAATCTGGTGCAATCATTGAAAAAATCAAAAGCGGCGCTTCAAAAGTGAAACAAGGCGTTCACTGCGGGTTCCACAAAGCTAAAAGCGTGTTTGTTGAACACGAACACATAAAGGATCCTTGCGATTTCAGTAGCCACAAGCTTAACGGTAAGTTGTTGGTGTTTTTGATGAGGTGAATTATTTTTTGGTTTTATGACAGTCGAGGCTCCTGAGATTGACATAAGAGGACAAGAAAAATATGTGACGAATGCACTAGGGGATTGGTGAATCATTTAATCTGGATCACTGTTTGCCAGGACAACGTAGACAATAAGGTTACTTCGTCTTTGTACAAATGATAAAATCGTTCAAATAAAACATTGTAGTTAATGTTAAAGGTTATCATTGAATTTTTTCTGCGTCCCTGTGTTCTTGCTGCGGTGAAATTTTGAGTGGGAAACCTGAAATTCAACAACAACGGATTTTTTACAAATTAGAGATTGACATGTGGAATTTTGGGGTAATTTTGTGTTTTCAATTTTTTTTATTTATTGTTTGTGTTAACGTTAATGCTGAGGAAGTTATTACCACTGAGACAGCGGTCGTAACCACTGAGACAGCGGTCGCAACCACTATAGAAATTTCCGACTCTCCAGAAAGTTTTGATGACAGCTCAGCAGAGCAAACCACTTTGAGAGCAGGTAAATATTACGAAATTTTTCTATAAAAAGTTGGCACTTTTATTTTAGCTACACCGCAATATGCAATATTCAGAATCTTGTGTCCGAAAGGACAATTGAATGTAAACAATAAATGCACAATACCGTTTAAATAACAACTGTAAATAAAGATATTTATACAACTCAAAATTCTTTAATTCAGTAAGAATAAAATCCATTATTTATTATTAGTTTGTGATTACAGGTAAGTTGCAATCCACACTTGGTGTCAACAAAGCAAGACACGAGTGTGCTGTTTTCTAATGAATCAGTGTTGGCAACAATGTTTACTAGTTTGTAAAGGTCAACAGCAAACGAGATTATGTTTCTCCGAAACCACAAAATATCTTCTCTCACTACAAAAGTTCGAGAAGATCAGTGAATACACGAAGAAATGTTTACGATTTCAAAAATTTTACAGCTGTTGTGTCTTTTCTTAGCACTTCTTCTATTGTTTGAAGGATGCAAAGGTGGCACGATTAAAAACCAAACCGAGAAAGTCAATGTAACTGGAAGTAAGTATTTTTCTGTGGCCTTGATTTCTTTTACAAATTTTACCTTTCCTTTTAGTTACGATAGGAAACAGACATTTATTTGACGTTGTGCCTTGCCAGCAGTCACACGTTAAGGTTGACAATGAATGCGTTGAAGTTTGGACTGACGACGATGAGGACTAAATATCCAAACAAGTAAATAATATCGGTTTCTTGTTTTCGATCTCTACACATTTTCCAAACGAGTAGAATAAGTAGGTGAACACTTTTATTTTAATGCAATATGTAAGAAAAGTAAGAGAAATGTGGTGAAATGTTTATTTAAATGATAACTTTAAATAAAATTATTTATGTAACTGAAACTTCGGCAGTCTTGTCATTTGTTTTACGCCTTTTCATACCTAAATTGTTAATTGAAGAAGAAGATCCTTGCTCACTATTATCTTGCAATTAAAAGTAAGTTACAACGAGAGATACATCTAGTGTTAACAGAGCAAGACAGAAGTTTGTTAATGAATCAGTGTTGGTAACAATGTTTACTGATTTTTAAAGGTCAACAAAAAGTGCGATTATGTTTCTCCGAAACGACAAAATATCTTCTTTTACTACAAAAGTTCGAGAAGATTAATGAACACGAAGAAATGTTTGCGATTATAAAAATTTTTCAGTTATTTTGTATTTTCCTCGCACTTTTTCTATTGTTTGAAGAGTGCAAAAGTGGCACAATTAAAAATCAAACCGCAAAAGTAAATACAACCCGAGGTAAGTATTGTTTTGTGGCTTTCATTTTTTTTAATTCTACCTTTTGTTTTTAATACGATAGTAAACTTACGTTTCTTCAAAGCTTTTGTTGTGCCTTGCCAGCAGCCGTACATTATGATTGAAAACAAATGTGTTGATACTTGGATTGACGAGGATGAAGAATAAATAAATAAATAACATCCGTTTTGTATGCCTATTTTAATTTACTTGAGAATTTTGAAGCGCTTGTTTTATTCCCGGCCCTTCCGAAGTAATCATCTTGTTTTCCCTCTCTACACATTTTCCAAACAAGTAGAACAAGTAGTGTGGATTCAGGTGTGTTTATAGATAAAATCACATCAAGTTTGTTTGAAGCTAAACAAGGCGTTAGATGTGGTTTACAGAGGATCTGAGGAAACATACCAAAACATCATCAACATCAACAAATTGATTTCTGTTTTGTACTTAAAAGGGTAGGTGGATGTTCAGTGACTTCAGCACAGACGTCACTTAATCAACTGATATCGTTAATTAGTTAATAAATAATAAACAAAGTAGTTTTTCCAGAAAATTTCTAAACACTTTCGCAACACTGATAAGTTCGACGGTCATTTGTATCACTAACAGTTCACGTTTCGTATTCGAGTTTAATATCGTCATGCACTTATTTTTACTTTTTTTGTTTGTCGGCGTGAGTTGTTTTCCAAATAATTCCGTGAAGGAGATATTATGCAGTTCTTGTCAGGCCGACAATAAAAATTTAGACGTTATCTATTTTCCCGATCAAACTGAAAGCAGCGTTGGAGGTTAGTTGTACTTTGTTGTATGTATTGTTCTCTAATTTTGTATCGCAGGCAAAGAAACGAAAAATCAGAGTGATATTTTAGTTCACGAGAGACACATTGTGAGAATGCGGGGAAACTGCAACCCCGGAGAAAGAGTGGACAGAGCTGGACGATGCAGAGAATCTTATAAATAATAAATTAGTGCAAAGAAATAGAATACAAATTATTTTAAAACTGTTACCAGTTGTTTAATTGGAATTACCTAATTATCATTATCTACTTAAAGCATTTTTAACACGGAACAAGAAAAAATACAACTTATAAACATTTGAACTAACTACTTAAGTCTAACTCTGAAAATCCAGTTTTAGAGTTCGATTTCATCTCTTAGCATAGCAATGAAACTATCTGCGTATTTCTTATTTTCATATTTAACTGTTTTTCATACAGTTTTTGTGAAGTCGGGTACCATTTTTGACGTTACTAACACTCGACAAAAAATCGGATGCGGCGTTCAAAAATTCGGGAGTGTTATAGAAGACAACTGTGGAAACAACGGGGACCAACAAAACAATACAGTTGAATCACATGAGGAAAGACAGGAAAAGCGTAAGTTTTTATATTTGGGGTACTTAGAAGTAAAGATATTTTTGTAGATGTAGTGGATGAAGTGCCACAATCCAGTAAAGTTGACACACCTAATGAGAACTTTGAGGAAGAGAGTATTTTTTTATTTATGTGCTATTTAAAACAAAAACTGTAAATAAGTTGTTTGTTGTAGGCGAAGAAGCTCATTCAACAAAAACGGTAGATGAAAAGATCACCGAAAAATCAAAATCTGAAACTCATACTGTTCTTAGTGAAAGACATATTTTTGTTGCACGCCCGAATTGTCCTAAAGGTGAAAAACCAGATGGAGCGGGTGGTTGCAGGCAGGAGTATTGAGTTCTTTTTTATTTAGTACTAAAATACAGAATTTAATTTTTTATTACAAAAATAAAAAATGAAGTTATTACATCTCAATTAATCTTTGCAGAATTTTCTACAAGACAAATTGTAAGCAAAACTTATAGTCGAGAGGTTTTTAGTTGACAATAAAACTGTTTGGTTTAAAAATTCTTTTTTCATACCTAAATTGTAATTAAGTGAGAAGAAGATTATTATTTTGCAATTAAAAGTAAGTTACAACAGATACATTTAGTGTTAACAGAGCAAGACGGTTTGTTAAAGTTCCTTATGAATCAGTGTTGGTAACAATGTTTACCGGTTTTTAAAAGTTAACAACAAGTGAGATTATGTTTCTCCGAAAAGACAAAATATCGTTACGTTTATCAGTGAATAAAATCGACGTAATAACATAATTCCGGCACAACTTGACTGTGCTCTCGTGGACTCGATTGACTGAATAGTCCTCATTCCCGAAGGTGGCCTCTATTTAAACGCATACTTCCTTCTAAATGTCCGGCGATCGGGATCTTTGTCGGTTGCCGCTCACGACTTGCGCTTCCAGGCTTATTTCTAGCGATCCGCCGCTCGGTCGCTGTCATTGACGATGAGTACAGACCAAAAAGTTTTCGATGGCCTATAGGCGTCGTACGGAGGCGGCGTATGGGTTTATTTCGTAACAATATCTTCTCTTATTTTAAAATTTCGGGAAGGTTAATGAATACACGGCAAGTTCTTTTTGTTGTGATAGGAAAAACATGAATGTCTAAATATTTTCACAACACTTTGATAAGTTCGACCGCTCATTTATTTGTATCATGTTTCGTGTTCAAGTTTAATATCGTCATGAATTTATTTCTACTTTTTTTGTTTGTCAGCGTGAGTTGTTTTCCAAATAAATAATTCCATGAAGGAGATCTTGTCAGACCGACAATAAAAATTTGGATGTTACTTATCTTTCAGATCAAACTGAAATCAGCGGTTTGTTGTATGTGTTGTTCTCTAATTTTGTATCGCAGGCAAAGAAACGAAAAATCAAAGTGATGTTTTAGTTCTGAGAATGCGAGAAAACTGCAAGCCCGGAGAAAGAATGGACAGAGTTGGACGATGCAGAAAAATATATAAATAATAAATTATCGCAAAGAGATCGAATAAAAATTATTTTAAAGCTATTACCAACTGTTTAATTGGAACTACCTAATTATCATTATCTGCTGAAAGCATTTTTAACACGAAACGACAAACAAATCCAGCTGATAAACTTTTGATCAAGTCATGTACATGTAACTCTAAAAATCCAGTTTAGAGTTCGATTTCATCACTTAGCACAACAATGAAACTATCTGTGTTTTTCTTACTTTCATATTTAACTGTTTTTCATGCAGTTTCTGTGGAGTCGGGTGTCATTTTTGACAAAATAAAATCTGGCGTTAGTAACACTCGAAAATCGATCGGATGCGGTATTCAAAAATTTGGGGGTGTTATAGGACACAACAGTGTTAACTGTGGGAACAACGGAGACGAACAAAGCAATACAGTTGAATCACATGAAGAAACAGAGGAGAAACGTAAGTTTTTATATTTGAGGTAATCAGAAATAAATATATTTAATTTGTAGATGTAGTGGATCAAACTACAAAGGCTAATAAGGTGGAGGAAAAGAAAACGACTGAAGTGCCACAATCCAGTAAAGTGGATACACATGATGAGAATGTCGAGGAAAAGAGTAATTTTTGTTTATTTGGTAGTTAAAACAAAAAGTGTAAATACGTTGTTCGTTGTAGGCGAAGAAACTCATTCAACGAAAGCGGTAGATGAAAAGACCACAGAAAAATCAAAACCTGAAGTTGTTACTGTTTCTGATGGAAGAAGGCTTATTGGTGCACGCCCGAATTGTCCTGAAGGTGAAAAACCAGATGGAGCGGGTGGTTGCAGGCAAGAGTACTGAGTTCCTTTTTATTTTGTTTTTATTTTAAAGGGTAAATATATCGTTATCAGAAAACAAATTTTAAACAAGGAAAAATTCTACATAATAATTACTTAATTAAATAAATACTTGTAAATTGTGATTATTATTTGACCACAAAAGTTACGTTTTTGTTATCATCATGCGTAGGCTTACGATAATAAATAAAGTTTATGTAATAAAATATTTCTTGTTTAAACAACTTAATACAGTTCTAATGCGAATTTAATCCTTGGAAAATTTTACTAAAATACAGAATTTAATTTTTTATTACATCTTTTTTTAGTGCAACCAGACACTGACATAAGGTTTAATAAAAATATACACTAATAATAAAAGTTTTTTAATGAAGGTGGGTATAGAGAGTCTGAAAACATACTATTAGTCCAAAAAATACTGAATTTAGATGTTTGTTATTACCATTGCTGCTGAGCTGGCTGTTGTTGCGGCTGTCCTAATATATTGCCAAGAAGTCCTCCGACTACACCTCCAAGTAGACCTCCAGTCACATTGTCCAAGGTTTCACCAACCCCGCCAAGAATCCCACCGAGATCACCAGCTGGTTTTGATTTGACTTCGTTTATGGTGAAAACGAATAGGAAAATACAGAAAAGCACAGTAACGAACTTCATGGTGTCGGTACGTGGATACAAGATGGATTCTTCGAATCTTCTGCTCAAATCAGGCGGAAGGAGATCTTTTTATACATCAAGAAGGATTAGTGCTGTTTTATAGTTAGTTAAATATTTTGAACTAATGACAAATTGTTACCGAGGTTGTCCTTATGGATTATATCTTCCTTTAAGTTTTATATTGTTGACAATAAGTGTAAACAAATAGTCACTGAACAGTCAGATTTAAGGACGATGGTGTTAGCAATAGTTTGTTTAGGAAATAAATCTTTTTGTAAATAACATTCTTCAGATACAAATTAGCAAAGCAATAAATTCTCAATGAGTTGTTCGCTAAACTTTTGTCTTGTCGCATTTACTTACTAAATATAATACGGAAACTTTATATTTTGTATTTACTTATTTTTGGAAGTGTGATAAGAATATGTTTTTGAAACTTATTACATACATTTTTGAAACTTATTACATACAAGATTTTTTAAATTTGTATTTAGTGTTTTTAATATTTATATATTCATTTTAGGATTATAGAAATTAGAACTCTGTTGTTAAAAAATATCAAAAATGATACCAAGCTGTTTGATCAAAATATGTGGAAGAATTTGAATGATTTTTTCTCCCCAAACCAGAGGAGACAACTAAAATTCTTAATTAAGCTTTTTTTATTATTATTAAATATAGGCGATCGCAACGTTAGAGTATTCTCAAATTTTCGAAAAAATGCAGATATTAAGGAGGCACGGTCGCTTCTGTGCTACTGAGACCTGATTAGAGTATGGAATGGGATTTGTATGTATATATTTTTTTGAGAAAATTTGTATGTCTAGGGGAAAACCTAAAGCAGATTCATATACCAGCAGCATAGATATAAATTATTTATTTAAATAATTTTAATGTAGAAACTTTCCAGATGACATCATCAAATTGTTACAATTCTTCCTTAGCTTGAGGTTGAATACGTGTAGGTCTGGGTTTTTTTATTATTCATAATTAATCAGTTTTTGACTTTGTTATTATTTTTTAATGTTATGGGCATTTAGGTATTTTAATACAGAAATATATGTGTTTATATTTTTATTAATGTTAACAGTGATATTTATTTTACACATCGCTTAAATTTATATAATCTACATTATGTACAAAATATGAAATGCAGAAGCCAGGAACAAAAATTCGTGGGTTGAAGTTGAAAAAGAGTCTGAAAATGGATAGTTAGAACCATATAATGGATACATGTATTTAAAATTTTCACCATTATTGTTGTGTCGATGGCTGCGTTTCTTGTGCTTGATTTCCAGTTGTGCTGCCTATAAGCCCCCCCACCACCCCACCAAGGACACCAGCTACCCCATCAATAGTGTCTCCGAGATCGCTAAGAAGGTCTCCAAGTTCAATTGATCTGGAATGTACTTGATTTATTCCTAAAGTACATACAAAGAGTACTAAAAGAACAGCAGCTACTTTCATGTTCGCGGTTGGCAACTAAATGATTAATCTTACACGTAATTTGGAAGGAGTTCCTTTTATATATTCAGAAAGAGGAACTTCGTAATATGTGACTATTTTTTTCATATAAATAACAATAATTTCGTATTATCAACAGTAAAGTTGTCCTTTGGGATTAATATTAAAGGAATCTTTTATTTTATAATCATCAGCAAGGACAAATTAAGGCATGGATTTAGCCAAACAGGACAAACATGTTTGCTGTAGTATCGGGGATTAAGTTCTAATTAGTTCGTAAGTTTATGTGTGAATGTGGACAACGTAACCATAATGATACATGAAGAGAGCCCTGCTAGATTTATTATTATCTATATTGCAGCTTCCATTGAATTTACTTCACAAAAGTTTAAAAATTATTTTATATTTTTAGTTAATTTAAATTTTTGTATTAAATATAGTGGCGAAATATGTGTTTTCTGTGACAGCTTTGTGTATAGCTTTTCATTTAACAAATCTTTTGTTAAGGCCAAGACCTTCAGTATATTTTTTAAGCAATTTCGTAACTAAAATTTCGTACACATTGCCTTGATGTTAAGATTTTAATCCCCATTTTTCTTTGATATAAAAGGGAGCGAAATAAATTTTGCTAGTTCCACATTTTATATTCCACAGAGTGTAAGTTCAAATGTTGCAGTTTTTAGTATAAAATTCATTTTTTTTTTAACTTTTGTCTAACTAAGGGCGGCATTAACTTAGGTTAATAGTGAATGTGTGCACATTAACAGTACGAAATGGGTTGTCCAAAGGAGCTAAAAAGATTTTCAACTATAAAAATAGTGAGAAGAAATAACACGTCATAAAAATGGAAGTAATTTATTATTCTTAGGTATGGGTTGAGAAATTTTATTTTTTAAAGACAAAATGTCGTCTGAAATGATTAAGTCAGGTAGAAACTTAAAGAAAAATCTAGTTGTTCTATTTGAGATATTTATTTATTGAAAAGTGGAGAAAAACAGATTGCATTACAAATTAGATACAAAAATAGAACTCCATGCAGGTGTATTTTAATCTCGCGGGAGTTGTGGTTCTGTAACAATATTCAAAATTAGAACGTCAGTTAATTTCTTAAAACCTTGTTTGACTTACCAACTACTGCTGGTCAGTTGTGTCCTTTGGCGAACACGATCCTTCTATCAACTTGCCATCTGGATCTACAAGACACACCAGATCTCCAACAATAACACTTGTTGCATCGCCAATACCATTGACGACGTCACCAATACCATTGACTACATCGTCAATAAGTCCTGGCCTTGCTTGAACTACGCACAAATAGGCGAAAATCAGGACTACTGCCAGTTTCATGTTTGGTAGGTAAATTGTGAAAACACTAGTAGAGAATGACACTTTGTCTGTCCGAAGTGAGGAATTGGTGGTCTTTTTATACAGGTGTGATACGGGAGATTAACGGACTTTTACAACTCACCAAACATTTTTTATTGTTTTAAACAATACCTATTGTTAAAAGTAGTTTTTTCAGTATTAATATTTGGAATTTTTTTAGTTTGTATTTAATTAATTAATTGCTAATATTAGACGCAGAAAAATTTGGTTATTAGTTTGCGCAATAATACGAAAATTTGTGAATTTATAGGTTTCTGTTCATTTAACAGGGTTTTGATAAAAACTTCGTTAATCGTTTCTAAAATAAGAAAAACACAACTCTAATACTTCAACTAAAAACTGAAAGATCATTAAAATTTTTTTCCTAGTTACTCCTGACTAGAAACAATTTAAAATGTGGTGAAAACGCCACAAATAAAGAGAAAAGTAAGAAAATTTTAATAAAAAAACACCACAGATTCAACAAAAATTTCCGTCAACAAATTTTCAACTCATCGTCAGCGTCATGACTTTAATATTTTGTTTATATTTTGTGAGTGTTTTTGGCAGTACAATGGCTTTTTATTTTGTTTATTTACCTATAAACTTCAGACAAACTTGTTTCCTAGTTGTTTTTAGTGAAATCAGTTTAAATCTTTTAATTCATCATTTACAACATTTACATTTTTTATCACATTATTTTATACTATTGTTAAGTCATAAACCAACAAAATCACGCGTGCCGTCAACAACCGTGCAAAATATTTTTTATTTGACCAAACAGCACACAGAATAGAAAATATTTTTGTTTACTGCCAGAACTTAAAATGTGCGTCAAAATTTTGAATATAAAACGGGGAGCTGCCTTTCGGTGATCAAACACATTCAAGTGGTGACTAAAGTAACCCGAAAGTATTCACAATGAAGTTCGCAGTTGCGGTCTTGTGCTTGTGCCTCTACAGTGTTGTCGAGTCTCAGCCAGCAGGGAGAGGACTTATTGGTGATATAATCAACGGTGTTGGTGATATAACTGGAGATCTAGGCAACGCAGCGGGAGATGTGATTGGTGATCTTGGCGATATTGCTGATGGTGTGGTCGATGGGATAGGTGATGTTGTAAATGGTGTTGCCTGTGGAACACTTGATCTAACCAACGGGTTGCTTCAGCAAGATGGACCTTGCAAAGATAATGGTGGAAGCAGTGGGAGTACTGATGGTAATAACTACCATAATTTAGGGAATGTTTTCAAAAATTCATTTCTATTTTTGCAGATAATGATGAGGCAACTACCGCTGATGTAACAGAAGTTTGATCTGGTTTTATATTAATGTAGATTGAATGTAAATAAAATTATTTATTGTTTTTTTTACTTTAGTAACTTTTTCCGATTTCATATTCGGCAAACTCCAAGTTTTTAAGAGATTGTGTTAATGGGTTTTTAACTGGTACACAGTGTCACAATTTCTTTAGGTAATTCACCTAAGCGAGAATAACGGTTATTAGTGGATGAATGTAGTGACGACGCTGCTAAAAATACTCTCACTGATGAGTGCTTGTTGGTTACTGGAAGTGATAACAACAATCTACTCAACATTTTAACAAACACCTACATATTCACGAATAGTGTCGCCATATAGTGATCAAAAGTGAGGTCTGACCCAGTTTGAAACATTTAACCAGTTACACAGTGATCAAAAAGAAGACAATTAATAACTGACACATCAATGCATAAATTGATTATTACCATATTGCTTCTTTTAATTAGTGCGATTTGGGGTTTTCCCAACCTTGAAGGGGATTTTTTAAATCCAGACGAGTTTGCTGAAATGCAAAAAAGAGCAACTACGAAAGCACCTGATGATGGTAAGGTAAAAGAAATTTGTTTACGCGATATTAAGTACGTTGATTTTTACAGCTACTGTGGAAACCAGATATTTAGGTAAAGTGAAATGTAAGGCCCCGTTACGAAGAATAAATGGTGTATGCACCAACATGTGGGGCTAAAGTAAGCACAAGTTAGGTAAATAAATACGAAAAGTAGACACGAGTAGAGATGGATGTCCCGATTGTGAACTGTGCTGACCTCTGTTTTAAAAAGGATGTTTTGATACAAGATATCTGTAACAGTAAACAGTATTATTAAATTATATGTTGAAACTTCAGTCAGGAAAAAAATACAATATTTTTTTGAATCACTTAGTATGTAGGAAAAATAGACTTCAATGAAAACAGTGTGATATATTCAATATTTTATAAACGTTTGTACACATACTTGCATCGATATTTTCATATACTTACTTAGGTATTTTAAAATATTTATTTATTTTAAATTAATGTTTTTCATTAATAAATAATAATAGTAATAATGACTTTTTGACTTTAAGTGTTTTCACTTGATTTAGCAGGAGAGTGTTTAATTATGAAGACTTCTTACAGAAACGCACATAAGTCACATGAGTTTTTTATTTTGATTCAGTAATAAAAATTCTATTCAGTGTTATCAACTGGTTAGAAAAAAAAAGTTAAAACTCAAAAAAACTGGTACTGGATTAGTACTCATAAAATTGATAACAAGGTTTCTATCGCGACAAGGACTGATCTGAACGAAGATTTGTAATTTAATTTTTGAGCTTTATATACATCTCTAAACTTTAAAAAAGGTGAAGGTTCACCTTATTTAAAAAATTGTAATACTGTTAGCAACTTTGATAATAAATTCCTGAGATCAGCATCTGTAATGATATATTGATAGAGTTGAATATTTAAAAAAATGATAACAAAAAGTTACGTCGTTGTGATAATTTCTATAAATTGCAAACATCACTCCATGCATAATACTTTCACGGAAGTCTTCTCAATTCGAAAACATATTTAGTCTACTTACTATTTTTAAAATCAAATACAGTTCGTTAGTCCCCGATAAGCTGTTTTAAGTGCGCTACACTTTTTTATACAAAGAATTTTTGCTAAAGGTTACTTCGGTCACGATAAGTAATTCAAATTTAAATCAGTTGTTGAAGCCAGCAGTGTCTCAAGAAAATTTAAAGAACACAGAGCCAAAATGAGCAGCTCTAGCTATTTAACCCTCCTTGTTTTGGCAAGTTTAATAATTTCTAGCTTCGCTAGATACATGAACTACGGCCAGTACCCCGGCGGTGGCCAGGGCTACGGTACTTTTCAGTCGCAGTCTTTTGGTGGCCCTTACGGCTCTCGCCAAAGATACCCTATGCCGTACAACTACAATAGTCGAAGCGGATATCAGTATGGAGGAGGTGCTGAAGGACAGCGCTTTCTCGGTTCAGGACTTCCAGCTTTTGGTAACACCGAAATGACTGGGGGTATGGGTTCAAGTTTCCAAGGTGCTGGAGGAATGATGCCCATGGAACCGATGGGGATGATGGGAGGAGGCATGGGTATGATGAACATGGACTGCAACCCACCGCTGAGGATGATGAACAACATGTGCATGCCCATGTTCTAACCAGATTAAGTCTAGCTGTAATTTTTATTATAATATCTAGTATAACTTGTGTAAAGATATATTGAAATCTGTCATCAGTGAAACTGTGATTTACATACGTATATCTATTTTTCATAGCTATAATTTGTATTAAAAAAGCGTTAAATAAAATTATTTAACTGAAATTTCTTATTTTCCTACGAATAGATTATCAAGTTATATTTTTTTACACCCTGTATATGTCACTTTTTTTATCCTAATGTACACTTGAGTGTGATGCAATATTTAACTGCTTTCTATCTATTTATAAACTTTCCTACGACTTTGTTCGACTAATAAATTTTTAAATTTTTTTGACATATCAAGAACACTACTGATATAACGAAATTTAGGACAGGTTACTCCGGTCACCGAGACCGATAGTCCAAATCTCTTCCTGCTATCAACAGTCATTCCACGAAAGTAAAAGTACAAAGACGCAGAATGAGTATCGGTACAAATCTGATAACTCTATTTTTCGCAAGCTGCTTTGTTTGTTGTTTTTCGCAGTACGTACAGTACCCTTACAATTATGGCTACCCTGTGAGCACAGGCTATGGTTACGGATCGCCATGTCAGTCGCCTTGTGGTAGTGTTCAACCCAGTTCTCGTTGTCCGTATTTACCATGCTACCAACAGTCTCAACAGTATCCCCAGTACTACCCCTACGCGAACAGTTACAACTACAACGGCAACAGTAACCGAAGAGTTGTCAATCCTTACTCTTACTTGTATCCAGGAAGGTATTCGACGTCTTCAAATCAGTACGGGAACATTCCTGTGGAAATCATTGACGATGTAAGTGCTGGTACACAGAAGGTGGGGAAGTTACCACCAGTGGGTAAAGTTGATCCATATGCCAACATACCAGTGGAGATTATTGATGACGACAGGTCTGCAGATTACTGGAGAAATATTCCAACACTGCCAAAAGTGACACAGTCATCGAGCAGTAATTACTCGGCTAGTCAAGGTGGATTTACAAGTAATAGTACCTCGTACCATAAACCTGTGAGGGCCGTTATTACAAGAACATTCCAACCACTTAAAAAGAATCCCATTATTAACTTCAATTTTGTGAATGGAGAAGTTAGTGAAAATAAACCGGAGAACGAAGGAGAAGAAGTAGTAGTAACGACGACTGAACAAGATGGAACTACCGAAGAAAATGAAGATGTGTCAGCTGTTACAGAGTGGTTGCTAAAACACTAAAAATGCATAACTTTTTCTTTGTATGTAACGGTTGTTAATAAAGATATATTTCTGTGAGTTGTTTTTTGTATAATTTTAACAGAGGTTAAAGAGCGAGGTTGTAAGAAGCTAAATAATCAGACTTAAAACGGATAAGGCAGTTGAAGGAAAGACATTACTTCGTTGGTTGAGCGATTATTATTAGAATGATTTTTAGCTTGTTGTGTTTCTCTCTTTTTTTAAGTGCATTGGTCGAATCTTTTCCGACAATATGTCCTGAAGGGCAAGAACGAACTCATGATGGTCATTGTGTAGAGCCATTTCATCTACGAATTACACCAAATAAGTAAGTTTAGAAAAAATTACAAAGTAGGGTTTACAATAATTACATGTATATATATTTTTGCAACAGCAGGCGGAATTCTGCTACTACTAAAGGATGCCCAAATGGATGGTTATTATCACGTAATGGATCCTGTATACAGGAATTTAATAAAGATGTGAATACCTCACCAATTCCTGATGTGGTGGTGACGACACCGTCGGAATGGCAACGGAAAACGTAAGGTCATCTATTGAATAAAAAAGAAACATTTTTTATGTCAATGAAAAGCACACATTTTGAAAGTCGATTTGCCAAGCTGTGTTTGATTTGCAATTATATATATATATTTTTTTGGGAACAGAAACCTGAGTTGCATACCACCTCGGCAGTTTATGGATCTTCCAACAGGATGCGCAGATGGATATGGACTAAGCCATACTGGAGATTGTAAAAAAAAATTCAACATAGGGTTCAATATTTCATCACTTCCTGAAGTAACCGTCACGTTACCTCCTTGTCAACCGAATCAAACGTAAGAGCGCCCATGTACTAAAATTGACCACTTCTTCAGAGCAATGAAAATATATAATTTTGAAAATATTCACACTCGCCATAATTCAAGAGAACACGTTGCAGTGGTCACTAATCAATCACGTGTCAATATAGTGACTCAAGTTTAAAAATTATTGATAACGAAAGCAAGCCAAGTTAAACAGTACTGACATACAAGTATACTAATGTCACGTTTTTTCAAGTGTAATATAATGTAAGTTTGAAAATATTTTATTTGTAGAATACCGCTACACTTGTTTCGATACACAGTGTCTTCTTCAAGCAGACGTCGAACATAAATTCACCAAAATGAAATATTTTTAAACTTAAACTGTATTGCCAAATTTATGTAAAATATAGTCAGGTCAGCGGCAAAAACTTTGAAATAACATAAGCCATTAGCGTTTTTTAGCACGTGTTTTAAATTTGTTCTATTTCCTCTTTAATTGTTAATAATTAAAATATTATTTATCAGGAACGTGACTCCACTTCCTACATCCACACATGGCTACAGAACTTTCGATAGGACGACCAGACGCCCATATATGATTAAGTAAGAAATACGATTTATTTGTAATTTTGTTGACCAAAAATTACTTGTTTGATTAGTAGAGCTTTTAATACTGCCATTATTAAAAACATTAACAACATTATTAACAATAATTTTTTTTGAATATATTTTTTGAATATATTAATTGTGGTGACCAGATTTGAATCAAAATTTCGAGCTGAAAAACATTAGCAGCAGCGCGAAATGTGTTTTGTTTGGGATAAGCTGGGGACAGTCCACAATATAAACTCTTCAACTTAATGGTTTTAAGTGACCAGTCACTTGGATAAAGGCATCATTTAACATAATGTAAATTCTTTGTTTGAATCGTTGATAAAGTGTGGCATAATTTAACATCAGGTAAATTCTTTGTTCTGGCAGCGGCTATGATGACAGAGTATTTTTAACCGAGCGCATGTTTGAACTGTAAAATCTCGTTGAAAAATTAACAACATTGTGGGTCAAGTGGGACGGGCATTTTATTGTTGTTTATTACTCTTTTTAAAACTTTAGCACTTGTTCAGTTGTAGTTTAATACTGGAGTTATAGAAATTGAACATTTAAATGGAATTGAGGTAAATAACACAGATACACGTGGCAAAAGCAAAGTGCGCGGCTCCTGGTCGAGCTGGCGGTCGCGCCATTTGCACAAAAGACGCAGACCAAGGGTAGATGTCAAGGAAGCGGTCGAGATGACGTGACGCTCGCCGCTTGCCCTAATAGCCGGGATTTCCTACCACGAGTTTGCGTCCGTAACGGCCTGTTTCCGTGAAGCACGTTTCTGGGTAATAGAGTGGTGCTGGGTGGCATGTGCTTGCCGATAGAATATAATCACCGTCGTGGAGGAAGAACAGCCACAACCAGGAGCCCCAAATTCCTCTCGTGCTCCAACGCCGCCTATGGGTAATTTTGCTGTGCTCTAGAATAAAATTGATATAGTTCGATCGCCACACTCTTATAGCGCTCTGGTGCCGCTGTCGCTGTCCGTAATAACTTGTGTAGTTGCATCCAGTTACTTTAATCAGATTTTTCTTTGTTTTTTTAAATTTGTGATTTTCAAATATTTGCATTGATTCAGAACGTTTAATTTGATTTCAGTCAAAGTTAGGTATTTTTTTTTGTAGCTGAGCATTAAGAGGTGTCTTCAACCGGCACAACTTAGTCGCAGCTTTTTTCTCTTTTTTTTTTTGTCACCACTTGCATTTGAACGCAATCCGCCACAAAAAAAAAACACACAGCCAAGGCCAAATTTTTGAATTTTTAAATTTTTCGTGGGCTTTCAATTGTTTTTTTTCACATGTCAATTTACTGCGGGATGTTTGGGTTATCGTTATCACATAGGTATACCGTAAAAGTACACTTTTACCACTTAAACATCTGCGACAGATAATTATTTCGTGAAATGATGACTGGAATTAATAAGTACCGACTTAGATTAGAAATAGCATAAAAGTAGATAAAAGACAATAAATAACTGCTGTGTATACGTAGATGAGTAAAATAAAATTACAAAGTTTGATATGTCTGCAGTTTAAAGTTTGCAGTTTTTATTGAAAAGATTTGTTAGTTTACTATTTTTAATATTTTTCTTTTTTAGTCCAATTGGCCATACGAAATCTACAAGTGCTCCAGTAAGAAGACATAATTGAGAGGATCCATTCTTAATAAGAAGAAAATTTCTGAAGTCTGTGGGTACCATAACTGTAAAAATATAGCTAATTTTGAAGCAAAAGTTGTTCAATTATGACTTGATGAATTTTTATATATTTTTGTATTTTGTTAGTCCTTGTACGTAATCTTATTTCTTTAATTTAAAAAAAAATGTAAATGTAATTTCTTGTCCACTCACAAAGACTGAAAGTTTGACCAAAAATAAAAAGAAAAATCCAAGGAAATCTTATAAATCTGGTTCATAGTATAAAAAAAATGGTTAAAATGAGTTCAATTGACTGAGAATTGGTGCCAAATTGTAGATCATTTAGTCAAAAAACGTGAAAAATGGGTTTACAATTTTCATTTATATGCACCGATTGTTAATATGGATGCCTTCCAAAGAGATGTTTTCTCTTGATAATTTTAGCAGAGGTTAAAGGGCGAGGTTGTAAGAACTTAAATAATCAGACTTAAAACTTGATAAGCAGTTGAATACAAATCATTACTTCGTTTGTTGTGCAGTTATTATTATAATGATTTTTAATTTATTGTGTTTCTCCCTTTTTGTATTTACATTACCATACATTACTCTCGGAAGAGTAGTATGTCCTAAAGGAGAAGTAATTGGTAATGATGGACAGTGTATAGAGCTATATCGCCTGTATTTAAATCTAACGGAGTAAGTATAGAAGAAACAAGTCGATTTACTATCGTCTGCCAATTCTGAGTCATCAAGTTCCCGTTGTCTTTTTGATAGAAGAAAAAATAGCTTTACTGTAGACATACTTCACAATGTTTACAAAAAATCAAGGCCAACTTGATGACTTTTTCAACTGAACACCCGATATGTTTGGTTTACAATTACATATATAATTTTTTTGGAACAGTGGTCACAATACCAGGCTCAGGCACGCTTTTGATACTCCAAAAGGATGCCCGTTTGGAGAGGAATTAGGACATGATGGAACGTGTAAAAAACCGTTTAAGTTAAAATTCAATACTTCCGAAATTCCTAACGAAACCGTGACGGCTTCTCCTTCACAACGGAATCAGCAAATGTAATAACCAAAAATTTTCCTCTGCATGTTATAAGTTCTAATTGTTTATTTTATGTTGTCCAAGAATTAGTTATTAATAATTTATAACGATGATTTATTAGGCAATTGACTCCCAGTCCTAAAGAAAATTCAGCTGAAGAGGAACATAGCGTCAGACCTCTCTCTAGAACTCTTTACTACATTAACAGGTATGGCAGCGACTACGCAAACTGCGCTTGGAACTTGGTCGCGAACAATAGCCAGTGTGGGAGAGACCCTCCGACAAGGACAGAAACAGTGGCCCATTCAGTACTAGTCACTTGTGTAAAGTGTTCCGAGAAAGTGGTTGGCCCGGTGTTTCTGTCTTTGTCGCACAAAATGGCTATCTTTCCCGACCAACTGTGAGCGGTTTGCTGGATCACTTTAGCTATAGCACACCGTGGTTAATAGTTATGGACCTCCGTGTCAGTCGTCCTGTGGTAGTGTTCAATGCACTTCTTGTTGCCAGTATTTACCATGCTACCAACAGTCCCAGTACCCATCGTACTATCCCTACGTGTACAACTACAACTACAACAGCAACAGTAACAACAGAAGAATTGTTAATTCTTACCGGTATCCAGGAAGGTACTGGACGTTTTTAAGTCAGTATGGGAACATTCCTGTTGACATCATTGATGACGTAGATATTGATACACAGAAGGTGGGGAACTTACCACTAGTGGGTAAAACTGACCCATATGCCAACGTACCAGTAGAAATTATTGATGATGACAGTTATGCGGATTTCTTAAGAAATATTCCAAAACTGCCAAAAGTGACACCGTCATCGACCAGTCATTAGACTGTTAGGGTGGATACTACGACGGAAAAAGATGAAAGAGTCGTAACTATAGAAGAAGCTGAAGATGTGACAAGTATCAAAAGTTGTTCTTTAAAAAAATGTATGTATAATTTTTTCTTTATATGTAATGGTTGTTAATAAAGATGCTTTCCAGTGAGTTGTTTTTTGGATAATTTTGACAGAGGTTAAAGAGCAAGGTTGTAAGAACAAAAAACAGTCGGTCTTAAAACGTGATAAAGCAGTTGAAGATATTACGTCGTTTGATGGGCAATTATTATTACAATGATTTTTATTAGTTTGTTGTGGTGAAATTTGGCAGAGGTTATTAAAGAAAAAAAATTGGTCTAAAGAGTTTAGACAGTACTTCCCTCGCTGTCGGAAACTTGACGACTGCATGCCTATTGTGTTTTTTTCTCATTACATTTTTGTAGTGGGAATTTAAAAAAAAATTGTGATGACGTCATCAACATTTTTGCAAGGACACGTATATCAGTTGGGATAGATGTAGTGTAATACTAAGAATAAAATTATTGTATTCCCAAATTTTCGGGAAAATGAATTGGGTCGTTTTGAATATTGATTTGTTATAATCAATAAAATAACGAAACAATTTACTCACGTATACGACGTCGGTGTGTAATATGTAGAGAGCGGATTTCTGTCCGGTTAGGCAAGGCCAAACTCGGTACGGCTCGTACGGGATGCGAATTCATTGCAGTTACGGACTGCACTTCGTTTATTTGAGATTAGAATAACGCTGTTTCGTTGCACTCTGCTGTTAATTCCCGCTCTCATTTACTTAGCCGTTTGATTAATAAATCGTTAATTATATTTATGAAATTAGTACTGATTACATTCAGTGATTATCTATCACCCGCTACTGAGTCCCGGCGATCCAGCGCGTCCCCACCTATAATCGTGACGTAGCCCGACAGAAATCCGCTGTCTAGTAATATCAGTGTAATATGAGAGGCAACTGAAAATCGTTTATGTATAAACATTCTTAATTTAAGATGACAAGCGTAACAGCATACGTGAGAGTCAAACAGAGAAACTGTAAACAACACGACCATCGGTTTTATTGCTTCGACTTCCGCTTATTATACAAAACATTAGGTTTTATTTTAATTCTTGACGGTGAAATTCACAATTGGTTGATTATAAACATGTCTATTTCGCATTCGCGGAACCAAGTTACCGCATAAAACAAATGCAGGTCTGTAATGTTAAAGTCGATGTAAATAAGCGTGCTACCCTTATGTTTCAACCGAGTTTTTCCTTTAACAAATTTTGTGTCTACCAAATTGGGTTGGTTGGGGTGTAGTACTAATAATAAGTGTTGCCTTTAATTTAATCAATAAAATAAATTGACTTCATTAATTTTTTTGAACCACCTCTTAAGAAAATCTAAAAAATATGAATGGAATGATAAATCACAAGTACAAACTCATCATATTTTTTGCATTTTAGATAGGATTTATTCAGCAAAATTTAAGGGTGACGTCATCAATTTTTTTAGGAGGGATGAACAAATACATTTTGAACAAAAGTTTACCATGCTTATAATAACTTTAAAATATTCCCAAGATTTCAAAGCATTCGGTTTTGTAATTCCTGATTAAATCGATTAAATAAATTCACGCCTTCATTAATTTTTTTGAGTCACCCTGCATATGCAAATCCAAAAATATGAATGGAATGATAAATCACAAGTACAGACTCATCATATTTTGTACATTTTAGATACGATTTATTCGGCAAACTTTTGAGCTGACGTCATCAGTTTTTTGTAGAAGATAACCAAATATATTTTGACTAAAAATTATTATGCTCTTTATAACCTTAAAACATCTGCAAGATTTCAAAGCATTCGGTTTTGTAGTTCCTGATTAAATCAATAAAATAAATTTACGCATTCATTAATTTTTTTGAGTCACCCTGTATATGCAAATCGAAAAAATTTGAATGGAATGATAAATCACAAGAAGAGACTCACCATATTTTGTACATTTTAGATAGGATTTATTCAGCAAAATTTTGTGGTGACGTCATAAATTTTTTAGGGGGGACGACCAAATACATTTTGATCAAAAATTTACCATGCTTATGATAATTTTAAAATATCTTCAAGATTTCGAAGCATTCGGTTTTGTAGTTCCTGAGTAAATCAGTAAAATAAATTTACGCTTTCATTTATTTTCGTCAATCACCCTGTATATGCAAATCCAAAAAATATGAATGGAGTGATAGATCACAAGTACAGACTGATCATATTTTGTACATTTTAGATATGATTTATTCGGCAAATTTTCGAGCTGACGTCATCAAGTTTTTGGAGGGGATAAGCAAATATATTTTGACTAAAGATTTATTATGCTCTTTATAACCTTAAAACATCTGCAAGATGTCAGAGCATTCCGTTTTGTAGTTCCTGATTAAATCAATAAAATATATTTAAGCATTCATTAATTTTTTTGAGTCACTCTGTATATGCAAATCCAAAAAATATGAATGGAGTGATAAATGACAAGTACAGACTCATCATATTTTGTACATTTTAGATATGATTTATTCGGCAAACTTTCGAGCTGACGTCATCAAGTTTTTGGAGGGGATAAGCAAATATTTTTTGACTAAAGATTTATGATGCTCTTTATAGCCTTAAAACATCTGCAACATTTAAAAGCATTCTGGTTAGCAGATTAAAAATTAAATTTCAAAATGTTGTTTTATAATTTTGATTTTTTTTCCAAAAATCTGGACGTTTCGGGTGAAAAGTCGATTCAGAGTTGTAAACTACATGTGTAGGACTATGTTATTTTATACAATTGAAAACCCATTTACTATGTACAATTTTGAAGTGACGTCATCGCATTAGTGGTGGGGATGATTAGACAAATTTTGGTTAGTGTTTTACCATCTACATGATATTCTTAATATAAGTACAAAATTTCACAACAATCGGTCGAGTACTTTCGGAGATTATCTGTCTAATAAAAATCCGGGACGGCGGACGGACAGACGGACAGACGGACAGACGGACAGACGGACAGACGGACAGACGGACAGACGGACAGACGGACAGACGGACAGACGGACAGACAGACGGAAATGGGAGACCTATTTCTTCGTCTTCTAGGGGTCATGAAAGATCGAGAAAACGTAAAAGTAGAGAGTCGGCCGACGGACTCAATTACAATACTTCCTTTGCTTACGCTCGGGAAGTAAAAATAGTTAAAATGAGTTCAATCGACTGAGCATTGGTGCCAAATTGTAGATCATCTAGTCAAAAAACGTGAAAGATGGGTTTACAATTTTCATTTATATGTAGCGATTGTTAATATGGATGCCTTCCAAAGAGATGTTTTCTCTTGATAATTTTAGCAGAGGTTAAAGGGCGAGGTTGTAAGAACTTAAATAAATCAGACTTAAAACTTGATAAGTAGTTGAATACACATCATTACTTCGTTTGTTGTGCAGTTATTATTATAATGATTTTTAACTTATTGTGTTTCTCCCTATTTGTATTTACATTACCACACACTACTATCGGAAGAGTAGTGTGTCCTAAAGGAGAAGTAATTGGTAATGATGGACAGTGTATACAGCAATATCGCCTGTTTTTAAATCTAACGGAGTAAGTATAGAAGAAACAAGTCGATTTACTATCGTAGATAACGTCTGCCAATTCTGAGTCATCAAGTTTCCGTTGTCTTTTTGATAGAAGAAAAAATAGCTTTACTGTAGACATACTTCACAATGTTTACAAAAAAACAAGGCCAACTTGATGACTTTTTCAACTGAACACCCGATATGTTTGGTTTACAATTACATATGTAATTTTTTTGGAACAGTGGTCACAATACCAGGCTCAGGCACGCTTTTGATACTCCAAAAGGATGCCCGGTTGGAGAGGAATTAGGACATGATGGAACGTGTCAAAATCCGTTTAAGTTAAAATTCAATACTTCCGAAATTCCTAACGAAACCGTGACGGCTTCTCCATCACAACGGAATCAGCAAATGTAATAACCAAAAATTTTCCTCTGCATGTTATAAGTTCTAATTGTTTATTTTCTACAACACTGACAGTAACAACAGAAGAATTGTTGGTCCTTACCGGTATCCAGGAAGATACTGGACGTTTTTAAGTAAATATGGGAACATTCCTGTTGACATCATTGATGACGTAGATATTGATACACAGAAGATGGGGAAGTTACCACTAGTGGGTAAAACTGACCCATATGCCAACGTACCAGTAGGACTTATTGTTGATGACAGTTATGAGGATTTCTTAAGAAATATTCCAAAACTGCCAAAAGTGACACAGTCATCGACCAGTCATTAGACTATTAGCGTGGATATGAAGACCGAAAAAGATGAAAGAGTCGTAATTATAGAAGAAGCTGAAGATGTGTATCAAAAGTTGTTCTTTAAAAAAATGTATGTATAATTTTTTCTTTATCTGTAATGATTGTTAATAAAGATGCTTTCTAGTGAGTTGTTTTTTGGATAATTTTGACAGAGGTTAAAGAGCGAGGTTGTTAGAACAAATAATAGTCGGTCTTAAAACGTGATAAGGCAGTTGAAGACATTACGTCTTTTGATGGGCAATTATTATTATAATGATTTTTATTAGTTTGTTGTGGTTGTATTTGGTAGAGGTTATTAAAGGAAAATTAGAATTAGAAAAAAAATCAATCAAGAAAATTGTTAAACATGGGCAACCATGTGCACGTTTAGTTCTAATAATAATAATAATAATAATAAGTTTATTGCCCAACAGTTCAAGCGAACCAATTACAGAGCAATGAATGAATATAACCTAATAACCTAATATTATTCTAGAGTGACAAGAAAAAAAAAACAGAAAACCGAAACTATAAACTACACTTTCCATGAAGGTTAAATAAAAGTATGTGTGCTTATATATAAATGAATAACAGAACAAAAGAAATAACAAACCAACTTTAAATAATAATAATAATAGTAAAAACAGTATTTGACACAAATTCAAATTAGTAGAAACAACAACTAATAGGTGTAATAATTTAATTAACTACTATTAAAAAAAAAGGCTATTACCTTCATTTTGAATTGTTTGAAACTGTGTGAAAAGATATCCAAAGCCTTAAAGTTCTTATTAAAAAGGAAACACATTATATTTAAAGGTGATTTCATTAAAATATTTGTACGAGCTAAAGGCACATAAAAAGGCAAATCACTTCTGCAATTTAAGCGTGGAACATGAAAGCAAATTTTTCCCAATAACTCGGCACAATCAATCCTTGAATGAATTAATTTAAAGAAAAATAAAGTAATGGCAACTTCTCTTCTGCTAACTAATGATAACATGTTGAATTCACTTAGCAGCAAAGCATTATCAATTCCTCTATCAGGATAAGTACCGTATTTTCTAAACCATACGTATTTCATGAATTTTCTTTGAATGGACTCAATGACATTTATGTAGCATTGATATAATGGATTCCAAATAAGACAACCATACATCAAACATGAGATAACATATGCCTCGAATAATATCTTAATAGTATTTAAATTATTGAAGTGTTTACATTGCCTTATTATAAACCCAAGTAAAGAAAACGAACGTGCAACAATATTGTTGATATGGCATTGAAATGTAAGTTCTGAATCAAATGTGATTCCCAGATCTTTTATGACATTACATCGAGGTATGATTTCGTTATTGACTGAATAATCAAATTTGTGTAATGTTTTCTTACGAGTAAATGATATGACTTTACATTTAGTGACATTCAGGGTAATTTTATTTAAGGAACACCAATTGTTGAATTGATTCATATCACTTTGAAGCTGATGTGCATCCTCAGTTGTTCTAATAATGTGATATATTTTAGCATCATCTGCGTATATTAATGATTGACTCTTGAAAATGGTAGGCAAATCATTCACAAATAAAATGAAAAGTAGCGGACCAAGATTAGCTCCTTGTGGAACTCCTGATGTGACATCGTAGATATGAGAAGAGTGACCATTATAAAAAACATATTGCGATCTGTCTGATAAATATGAGCGAAGTAAATTGAAAATATTGCCACAGAGACCATATACCTGAAGTTTAGATAATAACATTAAGTGATCAAGGCGATCAAAAGCTTTCGCGAAATCTGTATAAATGACGTCTACTTGGGACGCATTATCAATAGCTTCTGTCAGAAATTGGGAAAAACAAGCTAAATTGGTTATCGTTGAGCGCCCATCAACAAATCCATGCTGCTGCGGAGAGATATATTTTCGAACATGAGGATAGATAAACGAATACAGAACAACTTCAAAAACTTTTGAAAAGTTATTTATTATTGATATAGGACGGTATTTATCTATTTCAGCATTATTACCTGATTTGAAGATTGGTGTGACTTTAGAGGTCTTCCACTTTTTTGGGAATGTACCAGTAGTAAGGGCAACATTAAAAATTGCTAATAAAGGTTGAACAAAAATATTTTTACAATCGTGTATCACAAAACCTGGGATTTGGTCAGGCCCAGCAGTAAAAGAATTTTTGATTTTATTGAAAGCAACTAAAACGTCATTGTGAGTAATGCTGGATATAGATAAAGAAAGATAATCAGATGAAGGCACTGGAAAATCTGTTGAATTCTGAGAACAAACATAGGACGACTGAAAAAATGTGGCAAATGCGTTGACAATGTCTTCTGGAGAATTTAAAGAAACGTTATTAAAAGTCATTTTTCCGGGTATGCGTGTTTGACCTTTCATTGATTTTACATACGACCAGAATTTTTTTGGGTCCTGGGATAGATTATTTTGAATGGAATTCAGATATTCTTTATAAGCTAGAGATATTTGATTTTTAGTAATAGTACGATAATGTTTAAATTTGACGTAATAGGAGCTATCATTAGTTTGCTTATATTTATTATGATAATAACCTTTTAATTTAATGTTACTGATAATCACAGAATTGAACCATGGCGGAAACTGAATCTTATTGAATTTATTTGGATAAATTGGGACATGCTTATCAAAAATATGATATAGGGCGTTATAAAATTGATCTACCATACTATCGACATCAACACAATTATTTAGAAAGGACCAATCTATATTTAATAATTCCTGATATAAAGAAGGATAATCAGCTCTCTTAAAATTGTATAGTTTTACACCATTTGGTCTAGTGGAAGGGAAGTTACTAAAGTTGTCAACAGTGAAGTCAATCAAAATCGAAAGAGCCGGGTGATGGGTGTCTTCCGCAACCACAGGACTGCAATCATGTTCAACCCGACAATGGACATTGGAAAATACAAGATCCAGTAATTTGTTTGAGGCGTTTTTCACACAATTATATTGAATAAAATTCATAAAACTACAAAAATTATTGAGGGTATGTACCAAGATATTGTCATTATTTTGAATAAATTGGGGGATGTTAAAGTCTCCTAAGATCAAAATATTATCTTCTTTGTTGAAAAACTCCTCAAAAAAGTTACAAAATATCATCAAATCATCACATGTTGGAGTTCTTGAGAAATATACAACAAATACATAAAATATCGAATTTTTCTTCTGGTAGCTGGTAGTTCTGCTACGCAATTTTAGCTAGAGGGTTGGTAGCGAGAAGATGGCTGGCTTGGTAGATGAGGCGTCACTTTTGGTTTGTTTGTTGTGAGTGTAACCACCTGGTGAGTTAGCTAGATTAAGTTTAGTTGGTTTGGTAGTTAACGAGAATTATACGTACCGATTGCGATGCCACAGTTTCCCCAACACGCGTAGCTAATTCTTGCGTTTTTTCCAAGCGGAAATATGCTAACACGTGGTGTAAATTTGTTTTATTGTTTGTAAATTCACAGTTCATGTTAGGATTTTAATCGTTAACTGGTTCTAACACAAGTTTAACCGTCAGAGATTGTTTAAATAGAGCATTCATAATATCGTGGACTGAGGGACGGAGATTTAAAAAATCTCTCCCCTTAGGCGATTATTATAATCATATCTACATCACATCACCGAAACATTTTCTCGCAACGTGGAAAGCTATATCACCGAGACATTTTTCTCGCAACGTGGAAAATTACATCACCGAGAAGCTTTTCTGGTAACGCCGGATGCATGTCGTGTTTATTTATCATGTGTTTGTTTGCGATAAGCTGGAGACAGTTCACGATATAAACTCTCAAAGCTAATTGTTGTAAGTAACCAGTCACTTGGATCAAGGCATCATTTAACATAATGTAAATTCTTTGATTGAATCTTGATAAAGTGTGGCATAATTTAACATAATGTAACTTCTTTTTTTGAATTGTTGATAAAGTGTGGCATAATTTAACATTAGGTAAATTCTTTGTTTTGGCAGCGGCCACATTGAAAGAGTATTTTCAAACCGAGCACATGTTTGAACTGTAAAATCTCGTTGACCAAATTAACAACATTGTGGGTCATGGGGGACGTGCATTGTATTCCTTTGATTTAGATCATGATTTGCACAGCGCCACAGGATTGATCTCATTTCTGGGAGACATATTTTTGACGCACTTTTTTTTGTACGACGCATTCGTCCGATGCCATTTTGAACCTACAAATTTTCTGCTACAATACAGCTGAATAACTTTACTTTTAAAAATTACGCAATGACTCAAATGGACATAAAATGTTAAACTTATGTAATTTTGTTAGCATTGCAATTTTTCACCTCATACAATTTTTCTCCATCTCACAATTTTAGCCTCAGTAATTTTCTTTGCTGTATAATTTAAATTGAAGGTAAATTTTCATGCTCTGCAGTTCCAAACCTCACGTAATTTTTTTGTCTATACAAGTTTTACTTCACACCAGATCTTTTGTCGCTGTCGGCTTGGCGAAATAGCCGGGACCTAACCACTAGTTTGCGACCGTAATGATCGTCTAGGCACGTTTCTTGGTGATAGAGCTGGGCGACAGTGCTTGCGATAGACTAGAATCATCGTTGTGGGTAAGAGAACAGCCACGACCAGGAGCCCCAAAGTCCCCTCGTGCTACAGCGCCCCCTGTGGGTATTTTTGCTGTGCTCTAGAATGAAATTCATATAGTTCATCTCTTTTAAGTATCTGTGAGTTCAGTAGTTCACGGTCATTCCAACAAAATCAAAAATTGATCAATTTCCTAGATTACTGATTATCTTGAAGAAACAAATCTTTTCGCCATTAAAACATTTCCACGTTATTTCAAATAATATTGCCTGGAATTAATGAATACCGACTTTGATTACAAATGGTATAAAAGTAGATTAAAGACAATAAATAATTTAATATAAATGAGTAATATAATTTACAACCCTGGAACGTGTGTTTGCGAAACAAATTAGACAAAAGTAAAACTAACAAAGAAAAAGCAAATTCGGAAGAGGTTATGTAACGAAAATTGTGCCAACATACATTGACTAATAAAACTTTAAATTTTCCAGTAACTGCTTCCACTTACGAATTATACAATATCTTGTTTTTCGAAAAGTTGCACAAATTTCGCCAGAAATTTTAGAACGTTCGAAATCGTGCTTCACGTCAGGAGACTACGCATTCTCGAAAACAATGTCCTATATTTAAAGAAACTTAAATCAATCCTTTTCAAAGATTTGTTGCTTACGTAGCACTAATACACGGAAAGAGTTTAAAACCTTTTCAATTATTCTAGACTTACTACATGACAACTTCTACAACTACTCGAGATACTGTTGTTTACTCAAATTATCTAAGCTAAACTTCTTTATGAGAAGTGTAGAGCCTTTCTTAATTATAGAGTAATAAATAAGATAATGATCTTGTCTGTTCAGATATATTAGAGGACGAAAGTTGACTATTGTTACTTTGCAAAATGAAGTCATACTTTGTGATCGTGGTTGTCGTTATTCTTGTTGCTTCCTTGTGTGAAGCCAATCCTGTAAGGAATATTATTGACACTCCTGATGGATGTCCAGAAGGTTATGAAAAGGCGCACGATGGCACGTGCATTGAGCCGTTCAAGCTCATACTTCCTGGTGAGTTTTCAAAAAAAATTTTCTTATTATTATATTTTTTATGTGTTTTCAGTTCTCCGCGCCATACAATATCTACAAGTGCACCACTAAGAAGACATAACTAAGAAGGTTTATTCTTACTTATAAAAAACGATTTTTACTATGTAGATATCATAAATGTAAAAATATAATTAAATATGGACTAAAAGTTGTACAACTGTGACTCTATCAATTGATAATTATATTTTTGTATTTCTAAGTACTTGTACATAATTTTTGTTATTTAAGTTTTGTAAATATAACCTATTATTATTATTTTTTTGGACATTGTTGTTTCATGATATAAATTTCTTTCGAGATTTTAACGTATCATAGACTTTGGCATTTGTCGAGATAGTTGCTCAAAATAAATGGTATCTCACGGACGTGAGTGATTGATATAAATTTGCTTGTTAAGAGTTAGATTACAAGAAAATTTGTGTCGTTGATAGAGAATAAAAAATTTGTCTGTCCAGAAATTTGACTAAAAATAAATCAATTGGATTTATAATGTTACAATGACGTCAAGATGACGACATGGAGAACTTCCTGTACAGTCATTAGTGTAGTAAAACGCGATTAGTAAATATAGTGACGATGAGTGTTTATTGGTATGTATTATATAATTTGTAGTGATGATTACATTTATTTATTGTCAGAAATATTACAGTTTTTATATGTCTAAATAAAAAATTCTATCCCATTTTTCATTGTTTGTACTTTTCCAACACAGTTTCCTTTAATCCTTTATTTATTGAACACGGAAATTTTCTCCGTATATTGGTCTACTATAAAAGTATATTTCATTATGACACTGCAAACACTCTTATCAACCTGCTCAACAATAACAAGCACCTAGCGTCAAAGACGCCAGAAGACTGCAAAAATTTAGGAGTTCACAATGAAGTCTAACCTGTGTTTTTTGATAATCGTGCTGGTGCTCGTCGGTACTGTTTTGGCTGAAGATTCCAATTACCAAAACTGGTTCGCAAAAATTTTCGGCCAAAGAATCGAAAGCGGTTCAGAAAAATTAGTCCCTAAAAGTATTATTAGAGTCCGTTGCAGACAAGGTTTTGTCAGAATTGGGAGAAGATGCTTGCCGATAGAGGATGACTATGACTACGTAAGTACGTTTTCTTTTTTTTAAATTTCGCTATAGATTAAGCAAACGTCACTGATATTATTCATGATATCAAGCTCGGAATAAAAGATAAGTGATATGAGTGAAGGATGAAACTTCAGTGCCGTTTTTTCAATAATAATTATTGCGTTAATTTAGAGTAAAGGTCGTGAATCGTTATCGATTGCGGAATTTCTTAACTAACAGACGCCGCCAATATTTTTCGTACAAAACCAACTAAATTCACACAGCGAGTACCAGGAGGCTGTCGAGTCGTTGCCGCGGATTAGAGGTAATAGTTTCTTTGCGGCGAAATCTTGGCACAGAGTTACTTGAAGTTTTATCAGAGGCCACATTTGATAAAATAAATAAGTTGGCTTTATCGACGGCGGCTTTTATCGTCGTTTAGTCTAGTTACATAATTACTATGACCGCCTACATCGTGTTCGTTTTGTTACTCGTGTCAATTATAAATGAATGGACAGAAGCAAGATTTTGGATAAGTTTTGACGATTTCTTTGGAAACAGTAACAGTGACAAGGAGGGACCAAATATGGCCAACATTTTTAAAGTACCGTGTCAAGACGGCTATGCCCGGGTTGGTAGTAAATGTAGGCCGGTGTTTGGTGGGGTAAGATTTACTTATCTATTAATTTATTGTATATAAAGGTGTGAAAGGTGCGTTATCTAGATGAAAAAAATTACTATAACCGACGTATTTTTTATGTTTTTATTGCATGTAGTACCTTAGTTTTAATTTACTCTAAATGTGCTCTTTTTTTCAGCGGTAAAACTCGAATTCTCGTAAGAATCCTCTGATGCAGTACAAAAATAGATCAAGAAAATTTCTTCCGCAGTATCTGTCAGCAGAAAGTCAACACACAAACCGTTTCTTCAAAAAGTGCAGTGTATTTCAAATTGAGTATAATGCTTGTAGATGCTTTACTACAGTTTATAGTCAAAAATGTACTTACCACATAATGAATAATGTTCTTGTTCCGTTTTATTAACTGTTTAACTAATATTAGATTAAGTTTAGGGTAGTACTTTTAGTTTTATTTTTAACGACGTAAGAAAAAGTATTATCAGAATTTTTTGTACATCTTTTTTAAAGATTAATTAATATTAAAAATATTTTTAAACAGGCAAACTATAAATTTTATCAAACCTGACCAAATGAAGTAAAAACAATTTTTCCAAACTAATCTCTTCAACCATCAAGTATTTGTAATATTTGCTTTCGAAATATCGTTGACGTTATCCCAGACAATCAGATTTGTTATCTGCTATCGACATCAAAATGACGAAATGTAAAATTTGTTGTACATGTATCACTCCAATAAAACGAGATTAATAAATATAATGTTGGGTACTATTTTACTGAAATTTTGAAGTCGCCACTAATTTGAACTAAAATTATTTTTTGCAGCGCAATTTCCTCTAATCTTTTATTTATTGAACGCGGAAATTTTCTCTTTACATTGGTCTGCTATAAAAGCATATTTCATAACGACACTGCAAACACTCTTATCAAACTATTCAACAACAATCAGAGTACCTGGCGTCAAATGTTGCAAAAATTTTACACAATGAAGTCTAACCTGTGTTTTTTGATAATGGTGCTAGTGCTCTTTGGTACTGCCTTACCCGAAAATTCCGATTACCAAAACTGGTATGCGAAAGTTTTCGGCCACAACATCGGAAGTGATTCATTAAAACCAGTTCTCAAAAGCATTATTAAAGTCCCTTGTAACCCAGGTTTTGTCAGAGTTGGGAGGGAATGTTTGATTGTGGATGACTATGACTATGTAAGCGTATTTCAAAATTTTAAGCAGTAGATAAGTAAGCAAGCGTCACTAATACTCTATTGATGGGTATCAATACATACCGTCCTCTCGTTCAGACCGGAAAGATAAGAGATATTCGGTACGTGAAAGATGAAACTTCACGTAAGTGCAGTTTTTTTATTAATCGTGTTGATTTATGTAAGTGACGTTTGCTGTGTATGGATATCGTTTGCGGACTTTCTTAAGTATGATTATGAACCAAACACCGCCAATATTATTCGTGCCAAAGACAACTGCCCTGCTGACACCGTACAGATAATACCAGGAGATTGTCGACCAATTATTAAGGTAATTTACTCTTTGTATTGAAAACTTGTCTCTTGGCATAGCTTTTTATCAAAGTTCACTAAACTAAATTGACTTTATCGGCGGTAGTTGTTTAGTGTCGTTAAGTCTCCTTATCCGATAACTATGACCCGCTGTATAGTGTTCGTTTTGTTGCTTCTGTCACTTCTAAATGAACAGATTGAAGCAACAACGTGGATAAGTTTTGACGATTACCTTGGAATTAAAAATAATAAACAGAGTGATCCAGAGTCGCCAGATACGGCCAATATTGTTCAAGTACCTTGTAATGAAGGTTATGCCAGAATTGGCACCAAATGCAGGAAGAAGTTTGTTGGGGTAAGGTTTATTTATTCCAAGTCTTAACTGAGTTACGGTATACAAAGGTGTGGTAAACAGGTGCGGTGTTTGTTTACTTACATCACTTAGAATACATTTTTATTGTATGTATTAGTCTTAACATAATTTTCTTCGTTAAAAATGGATTAATTCAGTACAAACATAATGAATTTGTGTTTACTAGCCACAAAACCTTTTGTTAAAAAACTGTGTCTTTATTTAATAATTTATTTTTTAGAATTCTTGTAGAGTATGTTTTTCTTAAATCATTAACTTATCATAATTTAATCACCCATACTTTGCTACTGTCTATGATTCGAACGCATTATGTTATGAAAACACACTTGTTCATATTTGTTAGGAGTATACTTGGGAAACAACTCCGATTAGAAACTGCTTCAAAAATATGAGTACGTTGATAAAGGGCAAATTTATGTCCGTATTTTTAGCGAATTTTCTAGTTTGAAAATTTTATTATTTCAGCCAAGGATACGTATGTCACTCTCGACACGTGCATTGTAACACTAATAATAAAACACGGGGGTGTACCGATATTGAGATTTCATCTACAATAATACAATGACTTTTCGTAAATGAAGTAAGCTTGCATAACATTATTATTAGCGGATTTTGGGATGTTTATTCACATAATAAATAATTACTTGTTCATGCACCTTATTAATTTTTTGCACCAACGATCTTTGAACATTGTTTGCGTCATTAAATAAAAAAAAATTCATGTAATAATGATGGCTTAGTCATAACCAGCTTTGTGTGTCTAGTGCAAACGCTATATCATTCATGTGACGTACAATACTTTGTGTTTTGTGTAAAGTCATAAAGCTACGTAAATACAACGCTGTAAATCTTGCTTTAAGGTGTGCAAATATCAAATCTAGAAATAAATACTAACCGCCACTTCTTCTAGTGATCTAGTGAGTTCTTGTGGTACGGTGTAAATAGAGACAGTGCTTCAAACAATAAGTTTGCTCAAAATTAGTGATCGGAATTACTGTCAGCTGTTAGGGGAGATAATAAATTTCCAGATAAAAATGTGTGCAGAGATTGCCCGAAAATGAAAACGAGGGAAAACCTTCCTGCTTATCGATTTAATTACAAAGATAAAACGGACCGTCATTTTATTTAGCTCGAGAAGAAAATTTTGTGCATACAGGATGCATTTTCGTGGATTGTATTTACTTTTATTTTTAATGTTCTTTACTTGTGAAAGTTCGAGTGAATGGATAAGTTTCCACGAGTATTTTTGCGTTCATGATAAATCTGTAGATGCAGCTAATGTCATACGAACCAAAGCAAATTGTGATTCCAAGACTGTTCAAATAATTCCAGGAGACTGTCGGCCTGTTTACACCCAGGTAAGTAATGCTTTACACAAATTTTCAAAAAATGAGGGTTTGACGGAAAACATTTTTTGAAAGATTGGTTGATCTAATTGTAGTGTTTATCCAGAAATGATTTGGAAGTCATTGAGATTGACAGGTTAATAAATTGGTACCAGATCTTTAGTGGAATAAGATTTACTTATTCCAAATCTTAGTCGAGTAATAATATACTGGATATCTGGAAAACGGCGGATTAACTCTTCGCTACGCTCTTAAAAATCAACTGGTGAGTCTGAGAAAAATAATAAACACATTCTTTGTCACATTTTTTAGAAAATTGTACTTGCCAAAATAAGACTGATTTTGATAAACGCCATAGCTTCTAAGAAAATAAAGGGTGGGTGGGTGGGGCCAATACTTGCCAAGACAAGACTGATTTTGCCGAGTGATATATCCTTTATCTTTCATTTTCTTAGAGGGTATGTCATTACCAGCCCCGTCCACTTGTCCTTCATTTTCTTAGACAGTAGGTCGTTTGCCAATATCAGTCTTATCTTAGCAGGTACTAGCCCCGCCCACCCAGCCTCTCTTTTCGTAAACGGTATGTCATTGCCAAAATCAGTTTTATCTTAGTACCTACTGATGACTCACTTTTACAAAAAATGATTAAAATTTGGAAACATTACGACCTCACTTATATGCACAAAACTCTACGTTTAAAATGTTCGCAGTTAATTTTAGGTCCCCTGGTGTTTCATTTTCGGATGAATTTCGGATACATTTTTTTGCTGGGTCAACTTGAAAAAAATTTTTGAGCTTTTACTATTTTATTTTTTACGAATTTGAAAAAGTCTTGAGTGCCGTGGTGTTTTTTTTTAAAGAGACTCTAAAGTACCCATGGTGTTTTGTTTTGGGAGCCCATCGAAATTTTTTTGTAAATTATTTAAAACAATTTTGGGGGACTTCGGTGTTCTATTTCTGGAAAATTCTGACCTGTTTTTGAGTTAATTTTGATATCTCGTTTTTTTTTGAAAACTTTAAAAGAATCTTGAGGTACTAGGTATTCCTGTTTGGAAAGAATTTCAAAGTGTTTTGGACCTTCTAGTGTCTTTTCTTATAATAATTTAATTAAATTTCTTAGAGGATAAATCGTTTGCCAAAATTGGTCTTATTTTAGCAGATACTAGAACCGCCCACCCTCCCTCTCATTTCTTAGAGGGTAGCTCATTAGCCAAAACCAGTCTATCATAGCAGGTACTAACCCCGCCCACACGCCCTCTATTTTCTTAGAAGGATCTCATTAGCCAAAATCAATCTTCTCTTAGCAGGTACTAGCCCTCTAAGAAAATAAAGGGCCGGCGGGTGGGGCTTGCCAAGATATACCCTATATCTTTCATTTTCTTAGAGGGTATGTTATTTGCCAATATCAGTCTTATCTTAGCTGGTACTAGCCCCGCCCATTTTTGAACATCTTCTCTAGCGTTTAGTTGCTTAGGCTTTAATGGATCTTTCTTTTGTTGGTTTTGTTTTTGTTTATAATTTATAAATGTCTTATTGAATATCAATGGCTACTGGTTGTTATGGTCATTGTCCTAAAAAAAAAAAAAAATAAAAGGTGGATTTCAGGCACCATGTTACTAAGAAATCAGAAAGTAAGGCGAAGGTATTCACGCATTAGGTGCGTGCAATGTTGTTAATTTTACTTTTATAAAATAAGTTTTTTTTCGGAAAATACTGAAGAGTTAATCTGCCATTTTCCAGACACCCGGTATGAAGATGTGGTAGGGTGTGTTTATTTTTTAGCTAGACTACGTTTTTATTGATTAAGTATGCATAAGTTTTAATGTATTTTTCTTTTTTCAGAGATAAACTTCGGTGTCTCTCAACATAGGAGTAAATTATCACAAACCTAGGTTAAGGAAATCCGTTTCAACGTGTCCGCTTCCAGAAAGTTAACAAAAAATCTTTATTAAATAAGTCATGTGTCACTTTTCTTTAAGTCTTTTGAAATAGTGACGTCACAGTTTGTAATATATAGCCTTTTTTATTAAATGAAACAATAAAATAAAAATAATAAAAAATGGTCCTTCCATATTTTTTGCATTTTAATTTAAAGCCACTTTTGTACCTTCGGAATTCACCACTTTGCCTTTGAAGGCATTCCGTTTTTTAAAAAACACAACGTAGGTTCTCCATTTTGTGGATCACAGTTCATGGCCAACATTTAGTTTTTGCGGGTTTCATCTACTTTGTAGGCATATCTCGGTTTTGGTGAAAGGTTAGGTTATCACAACGCCTTTGTTTTTTTAAACTTATCAAAGAATTTTTGTGCGCATGTACATCTGCTTAAAATAAGTCTTGATTTTGCATATTATTATTTCTACCATGCGGTTGACAATTGTGTTTGTGTTGTTGTTACTAGTGACCATGGCTTTAGCACGTCCAAAGAGGCCAACTGAAGCTTCTTCGCTAAAGTCCTTTCTGAGTTATAAAACACGCAATGTTCGCGAAATTCTTCCTAAAAGAAAAAAAATCTGTCCAGAAGACTACATAGAGATAATACCAGGAGAGTGTCGACCCATTTTTAAAGTAACGTCTCTTTGTGGTTGGCTTTTGGTTTAGAGTTGTTAAATGTTTATCAGAGGCCACATTTGATAAATTGGTTGCCTTTACTAAATGTGGATGTTTATGTTTATTATAATCAGTTAGTCTACTTACATATTTACTATGATTGGCTGCATAGTGTTCGTTTTGTTGCTTCTGTCAATTGTGAACGAACAGACTGAAGCAGGAATCTCGATGAGTTTTGACAATTACCTTGGAATTAAAAATAACAATTTGCCAAATATGGCCAACATTATTACAGCACCTTGTCAAAAGGGTTACGTCCGAATTAGTAACGACTGCAGGAAAAAATGGTCGGGTTAGATGTACTTGGTGGTGTTTTTAGTATGCAGTATTTTTAATGTATCTTTCTTTTTTCAGGGGTAAGAATTTGACAAGTCTAAATTAAGAAAATTCGTCTCAAGTTGCATACCACCAGGAAGTCAACACACAAAATTTTGTGTTCATCTCTATTATAATGTTAAGGTATATATTAGAATGTTGCAGTGTAATCAATAGTGAAGTACATTTCTTTCTTGTTCAGTTTTAGTAGTTGTTGAACAGACCTGAGATTATGCTTAGTATAGTATGTAGATTACATGTTACGAAAATAAATATTGGTTATTGTAATGTACATATTAATAAGAATTATTTTGTACCAATTTTTTTAAACTGTACTTTTGTAACATAAAAAATAAATAAAATAAATGTAGGCGTCATTTGCCACATTGAATTTTAGTCTTGTCTGTTTGGTCCATGGCATACAGCGAAGTTTGTAAACTGTTAATTTTCGTACCCTGACAAAACAAACTGTCAACTAATGAAAATAAGCGAAAAAACAATTGCAGTCCAAGGCAGAAATTTAAATTTTCGCGCGTTTCATAGGTGTGCATGTCTTAATTTTTCGGAAAGTTACCAGTACACTTATCAAAGAAGTTTTGTGCCCATGAACACATATGCCAGAACAAATCTTTTTTGATATTGTCAATTATTTTTGACCGTGGGGCTCAGAATTGTCCCTCAGTTAAAAAACACGTAATGTCCGTTGTAACAGTATTGCCGGTGTTGGGGTAATCAACTCTTGTGAAATCTTGGCTCTTGGAACAAAGTTGCTTAGAGTTGTGTCAGAGGTCACATTTGATAAAATTAGTCGCCTTTATCAATATGGCTCTTTATTGTCGTTTAGTCTATTTACGCATTTACTATGACTGGCTGCATAGTGTTCGTTTTGTTGCTTCTGTCAATTGGAAATGAACAGACTGAAGCAGCATTGTCGATAAAGTTTGACAATTACTTTGGAGCTAAAAATACCACAAATCCAAATGGGACAAACACCGCCAGTATTATTACAACACCTTGTCAAGGTGGTTATGTCCGAATTAACAACGTTTGCAAGAGTACTTGGTAGGGTAAGATTTACTAATTCTAATTTTTAACTGAATTAGAGTCCATGACAGTGTGATGGTGTTTCATTGTAAGTATTATTTTTAATGCACTCTTTTTTCAGGGTTAAGACTTGACCAACCTGGATTAAGAAATTCGTATCAAGCTGCACACTGTTTTTAATTTCTATTATAATGTTAACACATGCTCTATATTCTATGTCAATTTGGAAATAAACGAAAAAAAAATGTTCCCTCCATATTCTTGCATTTCACACAACGTAGGTTCTTCCTCAGTCTTCTTAACTCTTGATAGGGAAATCTTGTCTCTTGAGTTGTCAGAGGGTAGATTTGACTATCCAGTCTTCTGGCTATACACTTATACAGGGTTAATGTGGATAAAGTTTGACGATGCAGGAGGATTTTTGGTGGGGTAAGAATATGTCTGTTTATTTTTGTTACTTAGATTAAGTTTCTATTGTTTGTACTAAGTAGTTTTAGTGTATTTTTCTTCTTTCAGTTTCGAAAATTTGGCAAAACTAGGTTAAGAAATTCCTCTCAACCCTTCCACTACCAGAAAGTTTCAAACTGGGGTCCATCTGAAAGCCAACACACAAAAACTTTTGTCAAAACAACCACAATTCATATTTTTTACAGATAATGTCTGCACATTCTCCATACTCATTATTTGAACAAAGTACGGTGCTTAAGTACATTTCATGTGAAAAAAATTTGCTAGTTATTAGGTTTTCTTATTTAGTTTAAGCACAAAATTTGTTGTATCTATTTCTTGGTTTGTCTTTTAAAGTAACAAATGTACTGATATCTTGGCGTTGTTTAAATTTTAATCACACGTCACATTTGATAAAATAAGTTGACTTTATCGAACGTGCATGTTTACCGTCACTTAGTTTACTCACATATTTACTATGACTGGCTCTATAGTGTTCGTTTTGTTGCTTCTGTCAATTTTAAATGCACAGACTGAAGCAACAATGTGGATAAGTTTTGACGATTACCTTGGAATTAAAAACAACAAGGATTTGTCAAATACGGCCAACATCGTTAGAGCACGTTGTAGAGTGGGTTTTGCCCGCGTTGGCCACAATTGTTTGAAGGTGTTTGTATTTGGTAAGATTTACTTATTCCAAATTAGTTATGTATTATTTTTAACGTACTTTTTCCTTTCAAAGGTTCGACAGCTCCAGATTAAAAAAATCGTCTCAATGTGTCCAATACTAGAAAGTCAACGACAAAACTTTTTGTTAAGCAAGGTGAAGTACGAAATATTAGAGTTTTTGGTATATATATTTTCTGTTTCACGAAGCCAATTTTTATAATAAAATATCTGTAGTTATTGCATTGTGTTATTTTAAGAAGTATTTTGAATTTTCATGAATTTTGGGAATTTTATAAAATGAGGTGGTGTTTCAGAAAAAAAATTAAGGCGTGAATCAAGTTCCAGGTAAAAAGGTGTGCAAGGATTGCCAGAAAAATGAAAACAAAGAGAAAACCTTCCTACTTATCGGATTGTATCAAAAAGATAAAACGAATAGTTGTTCTATCTTAACTCGTCACGAGAAAAAGTACCGTGTATTCAGAATGAATTTGTGTGGACTCTACTTACTTTTAGTTTTAATGTTCTTTAGTAGTGAAAGTTCGAGTGACTGGATAAATTTCCGCCAGTTTTTTACCATTCATGACAACTTTGTTAATGCAGCTAATGTAATACGCGCCAAAGCAAACTGTGAATCTAAGACCGTTCAAATAATTCCAGGGGATTGTCGACCTATTTATGCCTAGGTAATATTTGCTTTAAACGTATTTTTAAGAACAAGACGTATTTAACATAAATGTTTTATCAAAAGATTTATTGATCTAATAATAGTACCTAGTTATCTACAAGTGATTTAAAAATGTTCCTATGATTGACAGGTTAACTGTCAACTGTGTTGAATTTTAATAAATGCGAAGTGAAAAGTTCGCCTGTTCTGTTTCCGGTTAGTCCTCTTATCAAAGAATAGTCGTACGGCTATACATCTTGTCAACTGTTTGAACTAAATATTCTTATCTGATAAGCTTATTTATAAAATTGAGTTCTTGATTTTGCATACTATTTCTACCATGCGGTTCAGAGTTGTGTTTGTGCTGTTGTTAATACTGGCTATGGCTTTTGGACTTCCGCGGAGGCCAAGTCAAGCCTCTTCGCGCAAGTCCTCTGTCACTAAAAAACCATACCAAATCATTAGTACCAAATGCCAAGAAGGTTACGTCAGAATAGACGGAAAATGTCTTCCAATATTTGTTCAGGTGAGGAAAATAATAACGAAGGCTGAAAAGTAAAAAAAAAAATTGTTTGTAAATGAAATAATTTTACTTGTGGTTGGTGTTGTAAAAAGTATGTATGTATATTGTTTCAGAAGAACGATACACCCACATGAGGAGGAAAAGAAAATGTGAATAACACGTCAAGTACCTTACCCAACGATATTTTTTGAGTCGACTTTTTTTTGTCTAATAAAACTTTAATAATAATTTATAGGGTTTTATTGCCGCATTTATGATTATTTTAGTTTTGTGTGTACACAGGAGATAATTTAGTAAAAAATTACAGCGAATAATATTGTCTTTGAACGGTTCGTAAACAAAGTTATTTTTTATTTTTGAGCGACTTTTAAACGTATAAATAAATATGAGGAAATAAGTTTTTTGTAAAACGTGATGACAAGCATGTCACTGCTCCCTTTTTTCGACTTCTTTGACCCATAACAGTTTTGCATAAGATAGTAAATATTGAGTTTCACGAATTTTATCAACATTGCGAAATATGGTCAATGAGAAGTAAACTTTATAAGATAAAATCGTTAATATGATGCAAATTTTATTTACGGAGTCGTACGGAAATTAACAACATTCATAATTCGCTGATTTCGCTAAAAAATATGGTGAATGCTGTTGGAAAAAAATAGTTCCTAAGCTTTTTTTGTTATCTAAGAGTGGGAGATTGTTATGTGGTTGTACCTCTTCTCACTCATTTGTTTGAATTCATTCTTATCTGATAAGGCTCTTTATAAAACCGAAGTTTCTGTTCTGCAAATCATTTTACCATGCGGTTTAAAATTGTCTTTATATTGCTGTTATTTATAACAGTGGCTTTCGGGCTTCCAAAGAAGCCACTGAAAGCTTCTTCGGTGCAGCCCACTGGTAATAAACAAACACACCATTTAGTCAACGTCAAATGTCAAGAAGGTTTTATTAGAGTAAAAGACAGGTGTCTTGAAATATTTTCGCAGGTGAGGAAAATATTAGATGTATTAAAAGTAGGACGTTAACAACGCATTTTTAGTATTCTAGATGAGCAGCAGAAGAAACTGATTATGGAGGGAAAATTTATCCAGTATAGTGACTTAAGTGTGTTTTCCTGGACTGAATATTAAGGATCTTTGACCAAAAATATTAACAAATATCACTGTCTCTATGTTGTAATGTACGTTTTGTATTTTGGTATAATAAAATTTTAATAAGGTTTTGTTTTTATTAAAAGCTGTGACAATCGATGTCACAAAATAAAGTTAAGACTGCAATTTTGGATAAAATCGTGTGAGGATTTTTTTTAACCACCATGATAACAATCTTTCTCTAAAATTGTTTTTGTGGTTCCGAACATTTTTAAAACCACATTACGTAAAACTGAAAAAAAAACGCATTTTAAAGAATTATCGACATTGTTGACTCAAATGTGGTAAATGAACTCCCGCTTCCCTATATTTTATAACCTTCCTCATTGGAAGTAGGATGTCATTAGTATTTTTCCCTAATGGCTTGTGTTTTGCAAACAGTGACTATTTAGATTTCAGATTTTGTCAAAATGCCTGTAAATTTTCGGCAACTAAATGTTTTTGGCGTTTGTTTCGAAAAATACAGTGTTTTATTTTAAGTCACTCTGTTCATTATATCAGTATTATGTGCAAATCTTGTTGGAGTGGAATTAATTTAACTCGATATGGCAACGTCGCAATTGTCAGTTTTGATAGTAAATATTGAGTTTCACGAATTTTACCAACAATGCGAAATATGGTCAATGAGAAGTAAACTTTATAAGATAAGCGTTAATATTATGCAAATTTTATTTACAGAGTCCTACGGAAATTAACAGCATTCATATTAATTCTCTGAATTCGCTAAAAATATTTCAACTAAGTATATAATTTGGTGATCACAGAATATTATTCGTCTATTGTGAATGTTGTTTACAAAAAATGCAACTGAAGTGCTTCCATTTTAAATAAAATACAAACACAGTTCCTAAGCTTTTATTTTCGTTATCTAAGAATGGGAGATTATTGTGTGGTTGCATTTCTTTTCACACATTTGTTTAAATTCATTCTTATCTGATAAGGCTCTTTATAAAACCGAATTTTCTGTTCTGAAAATCATTTCTTCATGCAGCTAAAAATTGTTTTTGTCTTACTGTTATTTATAACAGTGGCCTTCGGACTTCCAACTAAGCCACCTAAAGCTTTTACGCTGAAGCCCGGTGGTATTGAAGAAGCACACAATTTTCCTGTCGTCAAATGTCAACACGGTTTTGTTAGAATACGTACAAAGTGGTACGAAATATATACGCTAGTGAGGAAAATATTAGTGTAACACGTATTAAAGTAGGGTGTTAAGAACAAATTTTTTGGACAGAGCATAAACGTGATTTCTAAGAAAATAAAGGGTAGAGGGTATATCATTTGCCAAAATCAGTTTTATCTTGACAGGTACTAGTACCACCCACCCACCCTTTATTTTCTTAAAGAGTATGTCATTTGCCAAAATCAGTCTTATCTTAGTAGATACTAGCCCCGCCCACCCACCCTCTCTTTTGTTAGTAGACTAGTATCTGCTAAGATAAGACTGATTTTGTCAAATGAGGGTCTCTGTAAGAAAAGAGAGGGTGGGTGGGCGGGACTAGTACTTGCTAAGATAAGACTGATTTTGGCAAATGAGATCCCTGTAAGAAACGAGAGGGTGAGTGAGTGGGCCTAGTACCTGCTAAGATAAGACTGATTTTGGTAAATGACATACCTTCTAAGAAAATAAAAGGTAGAGGGTATATCATTTGGCAAAATCAGTTTTATTTTGGTAGGTACTAGCACCACCCACCCATCCTCTTTTTTCTTAAAGGGTATGTTATTTGCCAAAATCAGTCTTATTTTAGCAGGTACTAGCCCCGTCCACCTACCTTCTATTTTCTTAGAGGGATCTCATTTGCAAAAATCACTCTTATCTTAGCAGACACTAGCTCCCCCCACCCGCCCTCTCTTTTGTTAGTAGACTAGTATCTGCTAAGATAAGACTGATTTTGGCAAACGAGATCCCTGTAAGAAAAGAGAGTTTTGTCTTAGCAAGTACTAGCCCCGCCCACCCACCCTCTCTTTTCTTACAGAGACCTCATTTGACAAAATCAGTCTTATTTTAGCAGGTACTAGCCCCGTCCACCTACAGTCTATTTTCTTAAAGGGATCTCATTTGCAAAAATCAGTCTTATCTTAGCAGACATTAGCTCCGCCCACCCGTCCTCTCTTTTGTTAGTAGACTAGTATCTGCTAAGATAAGACTGATTTTGGCAAATGAGATCCCTGTAAGAAAAGAGAGGGTGGGTAGGTGGGGCTAGTACCTGCTAAGATAAGATTGATTTTCGCAAATGGCATACCTTCTAAGAAAATAAAGTGTAGAGGGTATATCATTTGGAAAAATCAGTTTTATCTTGGTTGGTACTAGCTCCACCGACTCACCCTCTCTTTTCTTACAGAGACCTGATTTGACAAAATCAGTCTTATTTTAGCAGGTACTAGCCCCGTCCACCTACCCTCTATTTTCTTAAAGGGATCTCATTTGCAAAAATCAGTCTTATCTTAGCAGACATTAGCTCCGCCCGCCCGCCCTCTCTTTTGTTAGTAGACTAGTATCTTGTAAGATAAGACTGATTTTGGCAAATGAGATCCCTGTAAGAAAAGAGAGGGTGGGTGGGTGGGGCTAGTACCTGCTAAGATAAGACTGATTTTCGCAAATGGCATACCTTCTAAGAAAATAAAGGGTAGAGGGTATATCTTTTGGCAAAATCAGTTTTATCTTGGTAGGTACTAGCCCCACCTACTCACCTTCTATTTTCTTAGAGGAATCTTATTTGCCAAAATCAGTCTTATCTTAGTAGATACTAGCCCCGCCCACCTACCATCTCGTTTGTTAGTAGACTAGTATCTGCTAAGATAAGACTGATTTTGGCAAATGAGATATCTGTAAGAAAAGAGAGGGTGGGTGGGTGGGGCTAGTACCTGCTAAAATAAGACTGATTTTGGCAAATGACATACCTTCTAAGAAAATAAAAGGTAGAGGGTATATCATTTGGGAAAATCAGTTTTATCTTGGTAGGTACTAGCCCCACCCACCCATCCTCTATTTTCTTAAAGGAATATCATTTGCCAAAATCAGTCTTATCTTAGTAGATACTAGCCCCGCCCACCCTCCCTCTCTTTTGTTAGCAGACTAGTATCTGCTAAGATAAGACTAATTTTGGCAAATGAGATTCCTGTAAGAAAAGAGAGGGTCGGAGGTCGAGGCTAGTACATATTAAGATAAGACTGATTTTGTTAAATGAGGTCTCTGTAAGAAAAGAGAGGGTGGGTGGGCGGGGCTAGTACTGGCTAAGATAAGACTGATTTTGGCAAATGAGATCCCTGTAAGAAAAGAGAGGGTGGGTGGGTGGGGCTAGTACCTGCTAAGATAAGACTAATTTTGGCAAATGAGATTCCTGTAAGAAAAGAGAGGGTCGGAGGTCGAGGCTAGTACATACTAAGATAAGACTGATTTTGTCAAATGAGGTCTCTGTAAGAAAAGAGAGGGTGGGTGGGCGGGGCTAGTACTGGGTAAGATAAGACTGATTCTGGCAAATGAGATCCCTGTAAGAAAAGAGAGGGTGGGTGGGTGGGGCTAGTACCTGCTAAGATAAGACTGATTTTGGCAAATGACATACCTTCTAAGAAAATAAAGGGTAGAGTGTATATCATTTGGCAAAATCAGTTTTATCTTGGCAGGTACTAGCCCCACCCACCCACCCTCTATTTTCTTAGAGGAATCTCATTTGCCAAAATCAGTCATATCTTAGTAGATACTAGCCCCGCCCACCCACCCTCTCTTTTGTTAGTAGACTAGTATCTGCTAAGATAAGACTGATTTTGGCTAATGAGATCCCTGTAAGAAAAGAGAGGGTCGGTGGTCGAGGCTAGTACATGCTAAGATAAGACTGATTTTGTCAAATGAGGTTCCTGTAAGAAAAGAGAGGGTGGGTGGGTGGGGCTAGTACCTGCTAAGATAAAACTGATTTTCGCAAATGACATACCTTCTAAGAAAATAAAGGGTAGAGGGTATATCATTTGGCAAAATCAGTTTTAACTAGGCAGGTACTAGCCCCACCCACCCACCCTTTCTATTCTTGAAGGGTATGTCATTTGCCAAAATCAGTCTTATTTTAGCAGGTACTATCCCCGTCCACCTACCCTCTATTTTCTTAGAGGGATCTCATTTGCCAAAATCAGTCTTATCTTAGCAGACACTAGCCCCGCCCACCCACCCTCTCTTTTGTTAGTAGACTAGTATCTGGTAAGATAAGATTGATTTGATCAAATGAGATCCCTGTAAGAAAAAAGAGGGTGCGTGGGCGGGGCTAGTACCTTCAAAGATAATACTGATTTGGCAAATGATATACCCTCTAAGAAATTAATGTGTAGAGGGTGTATCATTTGGCAAAATCAGTCTTATTTTAGCAAGTACTAGCCCCGCCCACCCGTTCTTTATTTGCATAGAGAGTAGGTCACTGGCCATAATTACTTTTATTTTGGCAAGTACTAGCCCCACCCGCTCGCCCTTTATTTTCTTAGAGACTAGGTCATATGCCAAAATCAGTCTTATTTTGGCAAGTACTAGTCCCACCCACCTGCCCTTTATTTTCTTAGAAGGATAGAATTTTTTGTGGAGTTTTAAGTAACTTAGGGAAAATTTCCATTTTTTAAATAGATTATGAAGTTTTTTGCTTTTTTTCGAGTAATTTCAAAGCTTAATACAGGGGATTTTGTGTTAAGTTCGATCCTCGGAAGTGACTTAAGTGTGTTTTCCTGGATGGAATGTCAAGAGTGTTTGACGAAAAAAATGAATAATTACTGTCTCCATGTTAGTGTAGGTTTTGTATTGTGGTATAATAAAATTTTAATAACGGTTTGTTTTTATTAAAACATTTTCTCACTTCTTTAATTGCAGTTTTTACTAGTATGAAACATATATAAAAATACCGTTAAGACGAAATTTTGGATAAAATCATATGAGTGAAATTTTGTAAGGAAATGGATTTTTAACCACAACGATAATCTTATATTAGAATTGTTTTTTTTTGTTTGGGAAATTTTTAAAACCACATTAAGTAAAAATTGCAAAAAGTTAACGCATTTTAAAGAATTATCGACATCGCTGACGCATATGTGGTAAATGAATGCACGGTTGTTTAAAGTTTATGAACTTCCTATTAAATTTGTAAGTAACATGTCATTTAGCTTCCAGATTTTCTAAAAAAGTCTGTAGATTTTCTGCAACCAAATTTTCTTGTGGTTTGTTTCGAAAAATATAGTGTTTCATTTTAAGTCACTAGCACATTGCCAATTTTTCAGAGTTGTTGGAGTGGAATTAATTTAACACGACATGGCAACGTCGCACGTACAGTTCAGTCCCAAAATTATCAGAGAAATATTTTGATGTGTTTGTATCCATTTGCACAAAATTGGCAACACCAGAGTTTGTGTTTTTTAAAATGTGCCTTAAAATGTAGACAGTTTAGTAAATATTATTTTAAAGATATGGATGTGGTAACAGCCGGTAAACAGTAAACAGTGCTACGTGTTGTTACTTTAAGGGGGACTTCTGTAAATTTTATTTTCATTTTGATAAGAAGTAGTGCGAAGAATCATGAATGGAAAGTTCCAAAGTTAAGTTTTTGCGTTGAACTCTTGTCGTTCGATAGCACATGGCCGTGTCGTAAAAAAAGAAGCGTAGAAGTTGTCCCGATTTGCCAATAAATAATAATGAATGCGATAATAATGACGGCATCGCCTCCAATAAGTCTACTTTCCCAGTAATAATAAATTTTATCAATGGATAGTTGAAATGACGAATGACGAATCACTTTCGTGTTGTAATGGCTTATAAAAGTTGTGTTGAACACTTTTCAAATATCAGACGAACTGACTTCGGATAGATTGATGTAGCTTTGAACTTGTGACCTTAAGATAATTCACTATCAATTTAATTGAGTATATACCATCATAACTTATTCCCTTTGTTTAGATGGTAAAGTGAAGCTGTAAATATGGATCGATTTTTCATCGCTTTATCAATCATTATTGTGTTCAATATTTGTTTGTTATACGCTGTGCCCGTCGAACAAGAGAGCAATTCAACACAAATCAAGGCAATTTCAGCTATTAACCAATCGTCCAACGACACTTTGTGCTTGTATGGCTTCGAGTACGTCAACGGCACGTGCAAAGAGATTTTTCGAAAATGGTAAGTCCCAAAATTCTCGATCTCGTTTCCCTAACCTCCACTTTTCTGTTTTAGATCAGTGCACATCGCATGAAATCCTCGGATAAAAAATTATTAACTGTATTGTGATGTGCATGTATTATTTATTATGTAATTTATTTATTCCGTGTCAGGTTATGTAAGTTTAATTACATAATGTGTATATTAATAATGTGATCGTTGACGTTATATACTGTTTATATAAAGTAGTTGTGACACTTTAGAAATTAATTTGTTTGTTTCGTGTAGGTTACACTTTTAAATCGACGCAAATCCCTCGTTTTGTTTAAATTAAATATTAAATAAAATGCAGAGGTTTGCGTCACGTTAATTAAAATGTAAATCCTAGTTTCTCACTGCTCGTTATGAATAAAATCACCCTCCTCATATGTGTCAGGTTTTCATTGCACCTAATTAGTGATTACCAGGAAATGGACATAAATAGAACTAAATAACGTGATGGAAAACTACGAACAATATTAAATAGGTAATTGTGGACTCTATTCACTCCTATGTGCATCGACGTTACGTGACCACGGTGTGCTTAATTTGTTTTTCTTTGACTACTTTAAGTTACTTGTGACTGTGTTTCATGTGCCTGGTCATGCACCTCAAAAAAGATGAAGACTTTAAATTTTTCTACAAGCGAAAACTGATACCACAATATAAAAAAATTGCAATACATTTTTTTGTTTTTGGTAGCGATATGTAGGTATGCGTTAACATACCAAAATTACCGATGACAAAAATTTCGTAACGTTAAGTATCATTGATTCAAGGTTGTGAGATATGTTCGGTGTATCTTTGAACGTGTGGCTGCTGTAAAATAAATAACAGTGCGTAAATCATGTGTTGACCGTCATTTTAGTCAAAATATCAAATTATTTTTTTCTTCACGTAAAATTATCATCCAAGATATGTGCAGTAAAAAATTATTGGTGATAACTCGACCTAGTAACTTCTTGTTAGATTTCGTCGTTAAAATGGTGAAGTGTTTTTGACTTTTCGGCAGTATCGTACTGTTATTTATTATTTGTTAATACTAACAAAACATGAAGCTTGATGATACTGAGTGATAACATGACATTCATAAAATTTTATTATTATGTATTTTATTGGTCAATATTATCAGTTGTCCAATTATATTACCGAAGTACAGCGTGTTTAATCACAAAAAAATCAAATTTGTTTCAAAACTACAACCTGTTCAGAAAAAATTAATTGTTACAGGAAAAATTTACAGTGAAATTTTCGAACTTTTAGAATATATACAAAGCAGTAATGAATTTTTTAGAATATTTTATTTTGTAGAACTTTGCCCCTGTGACCGTCTGTCTGTCGGCTCTCTGTGGCCTGTCGTCTGTAGAAACTACTGGACTAATTGTTGTGAAATTTCAGCTAAACTAGGAGTTCATAGATAGTAAAACAGTGAACGAAATTGTCTGAACGTCCCCACCAATAATTGGTTGACGTCACGTCAAAATTTTGCTAGGTAAGACCTGTTTAAGTGTTATAAATAAACATTTCAATCCTTATTTTTCACATTAACATAGAAACTACAAAATCAACTATTTAAAATCTTGCAAATGCTTAAAGGTTATCGTAAACTTAAGTGGCATTTATAAACATGCTGTTGACGTTGAAATTCCCGTTGCAGTTGCTGTTTCCGCTGACGTTCCCTTTAAAGTGGAAAATTGTCATTTATAAACTTCGTTGCCAAGTTGCTATTCATAGTAACTTTGATGTTCAACTTTTGCCGTATTTAAAAATGTTGTAGAAGAAAAGTTTCTTGTTGTCGAAATAAGTCTACACAATTAAGAAAAAAAGGTAAAATTTAGCCCCGCCCACCCGCCCTATCTCAATTTGTAATTATCTTTTTTATTCATCGTGAGTCAAGAAGGCGGAGCTTAACTGCAAAATCCTTATTTCTCTACAAGAAATTAAAAACATGTTTTTGAGTATCGTATTGTTCAAAGAATACTAATACTATGTAGGTATATTAAATAAAAAAAATAAAGTCCCGATCTCAATTCTCAATTCTGATTTACCATTTGAGACATATGTAAAATTTATTGTTCTGAAAAGACGACTACGTGTATTAAGAAAAAAAAAATAGAGGCCCCGCCCACCCACCCTATCTTAATTGTGATCATTTTTTTAATCGTTGAGAGCCAAAGGAACGAAATTTAATTGCGAAATTCTTAAAATTACCATGTGAGACATGTTTTTGAATATCGCATTATTCAAAGAATACAATGTATATTAAGAAAAATTAAAGCCAAAAATTAAGCCCCACCCATACCTGCCCTCATCTAAATAGTAATAAAGTTTTCATTCGTTGGCAGATCTAGGGGCGGAGCCTAATTCCAAAATCCATATTTCCTTACAAAAATTTACCATTTTAAACGTGTTTTAGGTGTCTAAGAATAAAAAAATCATCACAATTGAGATGGGGTGGGTGGACGGGGTTTATATTTTGGCTTTTGTCTTAATATACATAGGATTCTTTGAAGAACACGATACTCAAGAATATGTTTTTAATTTCTTGTAAAGATATGAATATTTTGCAGTTAAGTTCTGCGCCCTTTGTTCACGACGAATTAAAAAAATCATCACAATTTAGATAGGGCGGGTGGGCAGGCGTACATTTGCCTTTTTGTTTTAATATGTGCAGACTTCTTTTCACAACATGAAACTTAAAATGGAAAATTTGTATAAGAAAATATCGATTTTTGCCATTAGGCTCCGTCCCATAACGGCAAAATCCATATTGCTTTGCAAAAGTGTACCATTTTAACCATGTTCTAAGTTTCTTGGTGTGAAGAGATGGCTAGGTATATTAAGAAATAAAAGGCAAATATAAGTCCCGCCCACCCGCCCTATCTCAATTGTAATGATTTTTTTTATTCGTCGTGGGTCAAGAAGGCGGAGCTTAGCTGCAAAATCCTTATTTCTCTACGAGAAATTAAAAACATGTTTTTGAGCAAGTATAGTGTTGTTCGATTTATATTTTACCTTTTTTCTTAATATATACAGTATTTTTTGAATAACACGATACTGAAGGGTGTCAGGAGAAAGAGCGAAGTACCGACATGGTTGGGAGAAAACTGTGAATGTCCCGGTCTCTAGTCTGTCCATATATTTATCTATAGCAAAAAGTATTAACTATAAATCTCAGTTAGTTCGCTGGGGTTAGTTTTAGGTTTTTCATTAGACTCCACTGTTGTTCAATATAAAATGCACATTTCGTCCATTTGGTGACCAAAAAGAAAACCGGGTGGGTGGGCGGGGCCACTTTGAATATTTTAAGCCTAATTCGCCACTTGACGTAGTTGAATTCAGTTTTCATCGAATCAAAAAAACCAATGAAATTCAAAACTGGTGGTGGGTGGGATTAGTTTTACGTTTTTTGTCTAGATTTCGTTGCTTGTCAGTATAAAATTCCCCTTTTGTACAATAGAATTAGTGATCAGGAGGAAAACCGGGTGGGTGGGCGGGGCCACTTTGAATTTTAGTGTAGTTTAGCGTAGTTCGGCATTTGACGTAATAAAATTCAGTCTCCATTTAATCAAAGAAACCAATGATACACAAAAGCGGATGTGGATGGGGTTAGTTTTACCTTTTCGTCTATATTTCAATGTTTATCAATATAAAACCCACTTTTTGTCCAATAAAAAGAGTAATCAATAGGAAAATCGGGTGGGTGGGCGGGGCATTTTGAATTTTTATAAATAGATTCGATCACATGACAAAATAAAATTCAATCCAACAAATAAGTATTTTGCAGCTAAATTCCACGCCTTTTGTTGATGGCGATTAAAAAAATATATCACAATTTAGACAAGGCGGGTGGGCGGTCGTACATTTTGCCGTTTTTTTTTTTTAAAAACAACTTTAAAATGGCACATTTGTATATAACCATTTTAACTATGTTCTAAGTGGTTTGTTGTGAAAAGATGGCTACGTATATTAAGAAAAAAAAAAAAGGCAAAATATAAGCCCCGCCCACCCACCCTATCTCAGTTCTGATGATTTTTTTTTTATTTGTCGTAAGCCGAGGGGCGGAGGTTAATTGCAAAATCCTTATTTTTCTACGAGAGATTACCATGTGAAATATGTTCTTATCTTAAGTAATAGTGTTATACAAAGAAAAGTAAATGGATTCAAAAAAAAAGAAAACCAAAAGAGAAGCCCCACCCATCCGTCTCATCTCAATCGTGATGAATTTTTCATTCGTTGTCAGACCCGCCCCTCGGTCTGACGTAATTACAAAATCGACATTTCCCTATACAAATTTATCATTTTAAATATGTTTTAAGTTTCTTGTTGTGAAAAGATGACTACACATATTAAGAAAAAATGGCAAAATGTAAGACTCGTCCATCCGCCCTATCTCAATTGTGATGATTTTTTTATCCGTCGTGAGCCAAAGGGGCGGAGCTTAATTGTAAAATCCTTATTTCTATACAAAAAATAAAAAACATGATTTTGAGTTTGTTGTTCAAAGAATACTATGTATATTAAGAAAAAAACAAGACAAAAATTAAGCCCCACCCTTATCCATCCCAAGCTCAATCGTGATGAATTTTTTATTCATATCGCTATTTAAAATATGTGTCCCCTACTTCAGAGGATTTTCCTTCAAGTTGGCAGCACTGCACACTACGGAAATTTGATTGGTTGAAAACCCAACGTCAACGGCGAACCGCAACGTCAGCGACAAGTTTATAAATCGACCTTTATCAGCTTAGAAGATAAAATTGACTTGATGACGTGGTTTCAAAATTTTGCTCATAGATCTTGTCTAAAATGAGTAAAATATTGTGTGTCACCATATTTTTTAGAATTATTTATACAGGATGTCTAACAAAATTAATGACGTTATCACTTTTGTGATAACGTCATTAATTTTAGTATTTATTTTAGTTTTATGAGATTAAAATCAAGTCGTCAATATTCTAAATTTTGATTTTAGAAGGGAATTGGTAGTTTGACCGTCCACTTGCGATGGAACATTCTGTACATTGGCATGTGTTAAAGACGGATAATAAAAGTGTACTTTTCTAAATATTAAAACCAAAAAGTAATAAAAATGGACAATATTTTGAATTTAACAACGAGTAATTTGTAAAAAATCTGGTTTTTAAATCAACAACAACTATCTACGCAATAGTCATACTTATTTATTCCACGAAACCGCATTTAAAAGATACAGAAATATTTATCTATTGCTGCTATGTATGTATTTTTTGGTGAACTTTAACCAGTGGATCATAGTGATTCATTTATCGTCAAATAATCCTGGAAAATTTAAACTAAATTTCATGAAATAGATTATAATGCAATAATGTGCATTATTAGGAATGCAGTGGGTTATTGTCTGTGAACTGCGATAACACAATTCATAAAAATAATAACACAAAATTTTCCAATCAAGCAGTATTGTTTACCGCGATCGATACACCTACCTATTAGTCCGTTGACTTTAATGTCATTAGCACTGTTTACATATCATTAATTGCAATACAAGGGAAAAAAAACAATTTTTCAAACTTACTCATTAACCACATCATTACTATTTCCTCTAGGAAACAGCGGTTTTACGAGATTAGCACTCTATAATTTGCACTTAATTCAATTATTACATTAATTCAGGAACACGAACCACATTGATTTTATGTTCCTGTTTTAACCAGATAAGAAGTTTTTTAAATAATTAGTCCCCGCAAAACCGTTAATATCTTCTACGAGTTTATTGAGCCCACATCGTTCGGCGTCATGATTTCTAAAATCCTTTGCTGTCTCATTATTTTTTTGTTTGGATATGTGATAACCACATTTTCGATGCCAGTGGCGTATGTGAAAAAGCACCCTTGTCCTCCTGGGGAGGTGATGATTCATCCGGGGATCTGCAGGGAGGTGAACTATTTCTACGACGAGGAGTACAATTATAAGGTAATTAATTCCTAGTTTTTTCAAATAATGCTAATTTTGTGTGTTGTTGCAGTAGTGAAGCCGTGTTTCGCTTTCATAGGACTGTTTTATAATCGCAAGTTTTGTCAGCTTTTGTACTAATAATTATGATCTTGTAGTTAAATTAAAATAAAAGTGTGGTATAGGGGAGCCTTTTTGTTGGTTTAATGAGCGGCAATCCTGCGGTGAAGAGCAAGCGTAAAATCCCGAGGGAAGACGAGAAAAGAAACTATTATCCCCGTACTAAATAACAGAACAAACGACAAAAAGGACGTACGTAAGGTACATTTCCATCATAATTCAGGATTACAGCCGGGTTTGTAATATTTATAGCGGGAAAATTTTAATGTCGCCCAAATGTTAGTATTTCATTCTTTTTGAAGATAAAAAAACACATTTCTTCGGGGACCGTGTTGAACTTTATAAATTATGGAACAGGCAGTGTGCTAATTTAAATTTTGATTTTTCAGGATTATTTGTAATTTTTGTATGGAAATCAGTGCATTCCATCGTTACACTTATCAAATTTCTCGTAGACGTTTTTACAGAGACGTACAACCCTATTTGAATAATAAAGTACTTTCTCCCGACACACTTGATTACGGTCGAGATTACATATTTATTTGGGGCTGTTCAGATTTTTTTATGGTTACAAGTAGTCGAACATGCCTATGTTGAATAGAAAATACGGCGGCTGTATGTTGATTAGAGCTGACATTTGATGTAGTTTTTATAAAGCATCAAAGAGAAAGGAAAATCGTGGCGAAGTAGAATTAGCTACGGGACTTTTATGTTTGTTATTTACACAGCCGGTATAAAGTGATTTTTAGCCTGGACGAATTTTTAATTGCACTAATTTAGCACCTAATTACACTGGTGGGTTAAGTGTGAGGATTTCGTGGAACACCAACATTCTTAAAAATTTGTTTATAAGTAAAATACCACTTGTTGATGTGTTTTTTGTTGCAAAATAAATAAACAAAAAATTGGTTAAAGTTATTTTGAACTGTAGCACACTCAGTTAAAGAAATCCAATTTTTTTGATGAAATATAAAATTTTGTGATTAAAAGAAAAGATAAAGCAAAAAATTATTTTTATTTTACTAAAAGATATCTACACTACATACATAATTGTTTTGTGCGGGCGTTTTCCTAAAAATCTTATTGACTTTTGTACCGTACAAACAGACAGGCAGACGGAAACCGGCCAAGACTTGAATTCTAAAATTACATTAAAACATTAGTAATTCGTGCTCTTACAAAAAAAGTACTGGGAGTAACTTTGTTTAGTGTTCATTAGGCAACCAACAATACTGTTGTTAGTAGCTGTTGTATCCTAGAGAGAGGGAATATGTCAAAAACGACACATAAGTTTGGGGGAATAGCGAAAAAAATCACTTTTAGGTTGGTAGCGGTAGGAAGTTTTGTAAGATACTTTCTGATTTTGGTGCGCTACTTCTTGTTTCGGTGTAAACATGCGTTAAAATTAGTACGTATAATTTTATTTGGAATTTTACAAAAGTATTTAAACGAAAATGAATCTCATTCGACGCCATTGTTCCCCAAATGTAATTTAATTACTATTAGACCAGTTAATTAGAAATTTTTTAATCTAAAATGAAGTAAAAAAAAAATCAATTTGACTCAAATGCTGTTTCTAGACGAAGTTTGCATTGCTGGGTCTCTTTCTGGCATCAGTTGAATATTTTCATTATTTTAAGCGAATTGTTTTAAACAATTGTCAGAAATTTAAAATTTGACGGGCCATAAGTCCGGAATGGCATAAAATTTCGGGTTGCGGTTTCCGCAATTCGATTTTTTGAATTTCTTTAGTCAAATTCGTTGATTCCACCTATAATCGACAGATGGATTTATCCGATGGTATTATGGAATTGTCGAACATTTAAAAAATTAAAAATATAAATGAGGGGGTCCCAGGGACATCCTTTGGACCCTGATTCTTATTCACGGGGGTTTAATTACTTTAGCGAGCAATTTTAAGTTAAATCGGCGTCAATTTAAGAGAGAGAGAGTTTGATAATCCTGAAAATTTCATAATACGATCCCCGAAAAAAAAAATAATTTTTAAGCAAATTGGAGATTAAGCGAGATAACTTGACGATATTGAAAATTTTCACAAAATATCGAAAAAATTAGTTAAATTTCACAAAATTTCGAAAAAACTGCGTCACAAAAAATCTTGTCTGACTTAAATTCGGTGTCTAGACTAATTTTGCACTGTGAAGTCCGTTTCTGGCATCTCCTGGGATATTTTAATCATTTTAAACACAATATTTCTTGAACCAAATTGAAAATTTGAGGCCATCAAATTGAAAATTTGACGGTCTATAAGTTCGGAACGTTATAAGATTTCGAATCTTATATCTTTCGACGATTCGATTTCTTGAAGTTTTTTCGTCATTTTGGGTCATTTTCAGATCGGATTCTACGGTCGTTTGGAATTGACAAATGGATTTATCGGACGGTGTTATTTTTCGAAAGCGTCGAACATTTAAAAAATTCCAAAAAAATTTCGGAGGTTTCAGAGGCAATTTTTGGAGCCTGATGCTTGTTGTTTGATAATCCTGAACATTTTACAAAATTCCGAAAATATGACGTAAAAAAAATTCGATTTGACTGAAAATTTTCTGTTTCTAGACTGATTTTACACCACCTAGTCGATTTCTGGCATCGTTGTTAAATATTTTCACTATTTTAAACGAAATATTTTTTTAACCCACACTCAAAAACCAAATCTAAAATTTGACAGTTTATAAGTTAGGAACGACATAAGATTCCGGGTTCCGGTTTTCACAGTTAGATTTCTGGAAGTTTTTAGTCCTCTTGGCTGATTTCCAGAAGAAATTCTACGTTCGTTTGGAATCATCGAATGAATTTATCGAAAGGTGTTTTTTTTTGGAAGTGTCGAACATAAAAAAAAATCGGGAAGACCCGAAGACGTCTTCTGAGGTCTGATCCTTTTTCAGAACGGTTCTACTACTACGGAGAGCAATTTTTAGACAAATTGGAGTAAGCAAGATAACTTGATAATCCTGAAAATTCCATAAAATTTCGAAAAATGACGAAACTTTCACAAAATTCCAAAAAACTGACGTCGGAAAAAATCTGATATGACTGAAATTCGGTTTCTGTACTCATTTTGCACCGCTGAGTTCGTTTCTAGCATAACCTGGGATATTTTCACTATTTTAAACATTATATTTCTTGAATTAATTTGAAAATTTGACGGCCTATAAGTTCGGAACGGTATAAGATTTCCGGTTTTGGTTTGGACAATTCGATTTCTTGAAGTTTTTTTGTCGTCTGGATTCATTTTCAGGTCGGATTCTGCAGTTGTTTGGAATTGATAAATGGATTTATCGAACAGTGTTATTTTTCGTATCGCGCATTTAAAAAATTCCAAAAAAATTTTAGAGGTTCCAGATACAATTTTTGGGGTCTGATTCTTGTTCAGAAGGGTCTAGTTACTGAAGAGCGAAATTTTTAGGCAAACCGGGGTCCATTTAAGCGAGAGGGTTTGATAATTCTGAACATTTTACAAAATTTGGAAAAAATGAATTAAAAAACAATCCGAAGTGACTGAAATTTCTCTGTTTATAGACTAATTTTTCATCACTCAGTCATTCTCTGCACTATCGTTCCAAAATATTTTCACTATTTTAAACGAAATCTTTTTTATCCTATATTCAAAAATCAAATCTAAAATTTGACGGTCTATAAGCCCGGAACAACATAAGATTTCTGCTTCCGGTCTTCACAATTCAATTTCTTGAAGTTTTTTAATCGTTTTGGTTGATTTTCAGCCCCGATTTTACGTTCATTTGGAAGTAATAAGCGGATATATGGGATGATGTTATTTTTCGGAAGTGTCGAACATTTAAGAAATTAAAAAAAACTAGTGGGTTTCGGAGACAATTATTTTTGGGCTCTAATTCTTGTTCAGGAAGATCTATATTACTAGAGAGAGCAATTTTCAGGCCAATCAGACTACATTTAAGCAAAATAATCTGGTAATCTTGAAAAATTCACAATGCTTTCCCTTCTAAAAAATGAAGTCAAAAAAAATTTCTGATCTAACTGAAATGTGGTTTCTAAACTAATTTTGGACAACTGAGTCCACGCTTGGCATGAGTAGTTAAATACTTTTAAAATTTTAAACAAAATCCTTCTTTGACCCATACTCAAAACCTAAATTTAAAATTTGACGGCCTAAAAGTTCGAAACGACATAACACTTAGGGTCCTAGTTTTCACAATTCGATTTCTTGAACTTTTTTAATCGTAGTTTAAAATTAAAAAAGGGATGTACTGGAGGGTGTTACTTTTTGTAAATGTCGAACGTTAAAAAACACCAACAAATTAGAAGGTTCCGGCAACATTTTTGGGCTCTGATTTTTGTTCAGTTGGGTCTAGTTACGAAATAAAGCAATTTTACCCAAATATGGGTCCATTTAAGTGAAATAGCTTGACAATCCTGAAAATTTCACAAAATTTCGAAAAAATAAAGTCAAAAAAATTACAATCTGACTGAAATTCCGTTTTCGGACTAATTTTTCAGCATTAAGTCCGTTGCTGGCATGAGTTACTACTTTTTCTCTTTTAACGAAATCTTTTCTATACTCAAAAACCAAAAAAAATGACGGATTGATCGAACGCTGCCACTTTTAGGACGTGTGGAGTATTTAAAAAAAAAAAAACCAGGAGTTCCCAGAGACACCTGTTCTTATTCAGGAGGGTCTAATTACTTAAGCTAGCAGTTTTGAGTTAAATCGGCGTCAATTTAAGAGAAACAGCTTGATAATCCTGAAAATTTCACAATTTGATCCCCTGAAAAAATAAACTAAAAAAGAACCCGATCTGAGTGAAATTCAGTTTCAAGACTAAATTTCTAGTCCTCAGTCTGTCATACTCAAAAAGCAAAATTTCTTACGGGTTCTGGTTTTTACGATTCGATTTTGAAGTTTTTAGTCGTTTTCGTTGATTTTTCAGACGAACGAATTTGTCGAAAGGTGTTATTTTTCAGAAGTATCGAACATTAAAAGAAAAATCAGGAAGTCCTGGATACACCTTCTGAGCTCTGATTCTTGTTCAGGGGGCTCTTATTACTACACAGAGCAAAATTTAGGCGGA